TCTGGCTCTTCTATGAGGGGCTTCGAGAAGAGCGAGGCAGCTGGGGGCTTCCACACCGTGCGCTTCCTCACGCAGCCGAGGGATTCGAGAGTCTGAAACACACGACAGACACAAAGGTGGACATTATGCGTGTTTGCTCCTTAGACGTTTATGCAACACGCCCGGGTACCAGGAGGCGGTTCCCAAAGCATCGACCCTGTGCGGGCCTGGGAGAAGCCACGATCAGGACGCCAGCATTCTGACAGTGGCTGGAACTACTGCAGTTAAACGGGATTTTGGAACAAGGTGGTGGAGGGCGAGGGACCACTGAACTTCAAATGCTCCAGAACTCGGGGTTTCCCACGGCGCCTGCGCTCTAGGCCTCCTGAAAGGCAGGACAGCAAAGAGGGGCACCCCACCTGGCTCTCCTGTGGCCCGCCAGGGTTGTGCCAGCTCCGTGGACTTGTAGGCTTATTATTATGTGGGGCGTAGAAAAAAAAGGCTGGATGAAACCCCCTGGGACAAAGCACTTCAGGGTGCTGGGAAGGCAGGCCACGGACAGAGCCAGGGTGCTGAGGGGAGGCTGGAGGGAAGCAGGGCCTGGGTCCTCAGTGCTAAAGGCCAGAGAAAAGGCTGATGCAGGAGGCTGGGGGCTGGGCCAGCGCACAGGCAGGCAGGGGCTGTGGCGGATGGGGTGGAGGGTCCTATAGCAGCAGCCCGAGGGGCTGGTTTTTCTCTGTCGGGAGGCTGGGCTGGGAGGAGAGGGGACCCCACCTGGAGCAGCTCGAGCACGGCCACGGGCTGCAGGACGCCGTCGTAGTGCTGCAGCAGGGAGCTCTCGGTGATGCCAGGCTTGGACATGATGTGGTAGAGCACGGCCTCCATCATGCCCTTGCACACGGGCGCGTTCAGCTGGCCGTCCACGATGCGCCATGGGCGGCTGATGAAGGAGATGTTCTCACAGTTCCTGCAGGGCCAGAGGACCAAGTCATTGCTCGGCAAGTGAGGGACAGTGGGGACAAGGCCCTGTGCATGTGGCCCGGTCTACAGATGAAGGCAGAGGGCCAAGTGCACAGCGACGGGAGGGAGGCACCTCCTCTCTGCTCAGGGACCCCCCCTCACTGCCCACGTTCATGGGAGTGGTCTCAACCACAAGGCCCTGACCTTGACTGAGGGCATCCCTAACAGGGCCGCTCAGAGCACCGTGACCTTGGCTACAAGGATTAATGACCCTTCTCTGTTCAGTCCACCGTGACCATGACTGTAGGAGATAGTGAGGTGTTTCTGCTCAGCCCACTGTGACCATGACTGTAAGAAACAATGTCCCATCTCTGCTCGGCCCACCGTGACCTTGGCTACAAGGACCAATGACCCTTGACAATGACAATGTCTTGTCACCCAGCACTGGCTTTCTCTCCACTCTGGCTCTAATCTCTGGCTTTACCAGCCTCACCCGGGACCTGGAGCCTGGGGCTGCCAGGGGTGGCCCCTCACCCGAAAGTTGGAAGCCTGAGTGCTGGGGTCCTGAAGGCAGCTCTTCTGGCTGGAGGACTGCGGCCCCTCCCGACAGAAGTGCATCCACCCCAGAGCCAGGCTTTCAATCTGAGGGACTGAGGGGGCCCTGGGCTGATCTGGTCATGTGCTGGCTGTGACCTGAAGTGGTCCTTCTTGGAGACAGGGACAGCGCCTGCTGCAGGTGCTCCGGGCCATTGACTCGTCATGTGAGACACAGCAAACGGCCAGTTCTAGCGTGTCCGTTACAAGTGTCCTGAAACCCGATCCCCGGTGCGTATTGCAGCCAGGCGATCCCCGTCCAATTCTCAGTCCCTGCTGAGGACGGCTGTGCTGGACAAAGTCTCCAGCACGGGTTTGCTGTCCAGGGACATGTCCGCTAGCGAAGGACAGGGAGCCCCGAGGACACCCCCCACCCCGTGTTCTGACAACCCTGGGAGGTTGGGACAGGGCCCCACACCCACCTGTCCTGCACCACGTAGGAGAAGCTGCCAGCCACGGGGCTCTGCATCAGACCTGCTGGGAGAGAAGGCCGTGAGGGAGGCCAATGCAAAGGAGCCCATCTCCACTGCCTCCCCATCCAAGCTCACAGACAAACCAGTGAGGAGGACAACAGCCCCCCGCCTCCCGAGGCTTCCAAAGAGGAAGCTGGGTCGTGGAGGTGGAAGCCGGCACACTTCGGACAGAACCAGACATGTGCAGTGGGGTAAGCCTCTCCCCGGGCCTCTGGGACCCCCACCAGCGGGAGCATGTGAACTCTCGGTTCCCATTAAGAAACACTGGCCAAAAACCTAGTGTCTGTAAAGGCCAGGCCTTCTCCCCTAAAAGATTAATCCCCTGTAGAAACCACACGGAAAGGCCACTGCTGAGCATAGGTGCAGGGGGTCCCCAGACGCAGAGGCAGCCGGCGGGGCGCGTAAGTCCAGGCCTGCCAGTCGCTAGGAAACGCTGGGCCCTGCCACCGCCCTGCCGGCAGCAGGCTAACACAGCAGACTTGGCTGGCCGGGTGCCCCCGGCTTCTGGGTCCCAAGGCTTCGAGCCCTGGTGGCCTAGACTGTAGGGAGCTGCACTGTGTCGTCTCTCTGGAGGTTCAAATCCCCCAGTGGCTCTAAGGCAGCAAGTCGGGCAATCTCTTCCCGTGGAATGCCAGCTGAGACGGCAAGGGGTGCGAATGTGCCCTCCAGTGGGGGTAACAGCCTCCTCCCCTGAAAGGATTATTCTCTGAGCAACTGAAAATCCTCAGCGGGGAGTCCTCAGTGTAGGAGGAAGGTGTGTCCCCCACGTGGCCTGAGGACAGAATTTGGCGGGGTCGGGGGTGAGGTTCAGTACCTTGGGGGTCTTCGCACCGGACTTGGCAGCTCAGCTGCTCCTGGCCTGGTGAGCTGGGTTCCACGAAGCCCTCCTGGTCCTCCTGCTCGGCGTCTGATGCTCCTGGGGGAGCATTCCTGGCCCCCATGTCCTCAGGAGCTGCAGGCAGGGCAGGGACCCGGGTTTCCGGCCCAGCGTCTGCTCTGAGCCGGCTGCTGGGGGACACACACACACTATGGAACGCAGGTCGCTTTGCAGGGGGCTGCAGGTCATCACCGGGACTGTGTGTGCTGGTGGTGTCACTGCTGGCCCAGCTGGCAGGCCTCTTGAGTCGCTGGGGGCTTTGAAGAAATGGGGTCTGCCTCTCGAAGGGGCTGCTTTCACCAGACGGTCCCCCCGGGGGCCTGGCCTGGAGGTCTTCCCTTGGGGACTGGACGTCTTCCTCTCTGTCTTTCAGCTGTACCGAGTGCAGGAGCCAAGGCCCGGAAAAGGCCATGGTCACCAGGCGGACTGTGTTGCCGCCAACCTCCAGGACCTGGCGATGCTCCAGGAGGTCCTAGAGAAAGGAGACAGGAGCTGGGACTGTCTGGGTCGTTCTCACCTGACGGCCGCTCAGCGTCAAGCTGCAAGTGGCTAGTCCCGTTCAAACACTCCATGCGTGAAGCATGAGATGTGCTCACTGCACCAATGAGCCAGGTGTCCCTCTGTCCCTTCCCAAGCATCACCGTGCTGACCTGTAACGTGTCAGACACACACACTTCCTGCACAGAGCCACGATCTCGGGGCGGAGGGTAATTTACCAATCTCCTGCCCGGCCAACGTGACGTGGTAAGCGCCCACAGAACTCAGCACCCTAACCTACAGCGAGATCCTCCTCGTTCCACGTGGGCGGTCACGCCTCTCACGGGTGCTGCACGTCTGCCCCCCACCCTGGGAGCAACACAGGGCTCGCTGGCATGTGTCTCCCGTCACCATCCTACAATCAGCGGGCTCTGGAGCCCACAGATGGGCAAAGGCTGGCACGTGTGTCCCACCACCATCTCTACCCGAGCCCTGGCCTACCTCCCACTCAGTGTTTCTGACGCATGCTCGCAGGTCCAAAGCAGGCCCGTCCCAGAGTGCACCTGGCCTGTGGGCAATGTGGACTCAACTCACCTGCACGTAGTCGGTGAACGTCCTGGTGCGCTCATCACTTGTCTTCTCAAGGGCAGAAAACCGTCTGCTCAGCTCCAGCTTGTCGACTCCAAACCCCCCCGTGGCTTCAACGGCCCTCTGGATTTCCAGGGCAGCAACCACGTCTTCTGGTTTGTACCCAGACAGCACCACCAGGTGGACAAACTCTTCCAAGCTGATCTCCTGGGTATTGAGCACGCTGGTTAGAGAGGCAGGGAGGCAGGAGGGTCCCACCGTCATCTCATCCAGAGAAGGGGCTGCAAAAACGAGGCAGGAGGTCAGTATCAGTCCCGACGGAAGCCCACCCGCTGGACCCAGGCACAGGCAGCAGAAGCAGGGAATTCAGAGGTCCCCATGCCTGCTCCCCAAAAAAGCTGCACAGCACCCTAGGGTGGACACCAGAGTGGACACGTTCTGGCCCCCGGGGGCAGCTGACAGAAGTGACTTTATCGGCGCTCAAGGAGCGGGGTGCTGGACCCGAGCCCTGGAGGAGGGGTCCCCTTCTGGCTGCGGGGGCTTGTTCACTCCTCCTCACACTCAGCCTCTCCCAGTGAACCCCTTTTTGCTTATATTGGTTGGTTTCTGTTTACTAAACATGCCACTGGTGAGCGGAACGCAAATATCTCACTGTAGTTACGGAATGATGTAAATACCACCAACCGCAGCCAATAAAGGTAGAGGTGAGGAGGGGACAGGGAGGTGGGGAAGGGAGGGGACTGTCACAGCCCCACTTTACATGGTACAGGTACAGACTGCCTGAAATTAGGGGCTTGGGAAACAAGTTCAATCATATTACTTAAGTGACGTAACGGTGATCCCTTTTTTTTTTCTAAGTACAAAAGTCGGAAATGAAGGGGGTAAAAATTCATCAGCTAAATACTCATCTTGATTCTTAGAAGTTCTAAGGTCGTGATTAATATGTTCTTCAATGAGTGTAACTTAGTGTTCCAGAGCTAACTCCAGAGAACTCGGAGAGAAGCCGGGAACAGGTTACATCTGAGGAGCGGCCAGGGGGAGGGGAACAGGTGGGAGCAAGGCCCTCCTGACGGGACTTCTTTAACCCACACACATCACTTCGATTAAAAAGAAAAAAGCAGACAATGCAGCAGCTCTCAGGCGGGGTGTGAACCCCATGGGGCCCTGAGTGAGTGCTCCCTGCTAGGGAGGGGGTCTCGGGGGGCGTGTGCTCTTCAGCCTGGCCCAAGAGTGGAGCGGTAAGCTGCATTGCAATCCCAGAGGCACACAGATCGAATCCACCAGATGCTCTGCTGGAGAAGGAGGGGCAATCTCCTCCTGTACCAGTCAGATCCAATTTGACGGTACACACAAAAAAGAAAAAAATAAAATTATAAATAAAAAAAAGCAGAGGGCTGTGTACACACGTGTGTGAGGTATTTTCTCTATTTGTCATCTGTTTTGGCACCATCACCCGGACCTCCTCCTTGGCCTGCAGGGCCTGGGGGCGAGTGGGCATCACGGGTGGGTCACGGAATGGGCCCGAGCGCCTCGGTGGCCGACCAGCCGGCTCCCTGTCCTGGGGCTCCCGCGGGGGACTCACCGGAGGACTGGAGGCAGGTGGGCCCGGAGCTGCTTCGAAGCCGGAACTTCACCTGGCAGGAGTTGACGACGATGTTGTCGTTGGGGCTGAGGTTGCGGCTGCTGATGATGCCGGGGGCGTAGTAGCCCCTCATGAGCAGGTAGTTGGTGTGGGAGGCCTGGGGGGCTTTCACCTCGATGCTCCGACGCTTGCTCCCCGAGCCTTCGTCCAAGTCCTCATCATCGTCGTCATCGTCTTCCAAGCCGCCATCTTTCGCCAGGCTGGAAGAAAAGGGGAGCCTGGCTTACCGACAGGGCCCCCATCTGCCTCTTCTGCTGATCCCAGCTCCTGCTCAGGGGCCCTCTGTCATTGGCCATAATGGCCTCTAGCAGCTAGGATGCCCACCGGGGCACGGCCCGCCTTTCCTTCCAGAAGGTCTTGCACTGGCTGCTGGTCCAGTTTCACCTGTCACCCCACTTTCTCACATACCCTCTGCTAACCCCTCTCAACTCATCTGTGAACGAATGTCTCCTTTGGTCTGGAAAACCCATCAGATGCCTCTGCCCCCTAAATGTCTGTATTCCCACTAAGCCCTAGTTCAGCCCTCAAACCACCTCCCTTCTTATCATTCTGTGATGGTTTAATGCAGTACACTAACTAGGCCAGGCTCAGATTCTTAGGATTATGGAATTCTCCTCTATTTTGTGATCTGATTTAAGAGGTGTTCCCTTTGGGGGTAGTCTGGCAAAGCTGCATCCAAACTGGCACCCTCTGAACTCTGGTTCTCAGCCCTATCTTCCAGCAGCCTGCAGCCTGTGCTACAGACGGTGGGATCTGCCGGCTCCTTTAACCCTGTGAGCCGGCAGGCAGCCAGCTGCCTGATCTGCTGATCTTTCGTTCCTGCAACCACAGGGGTGGGGAAAAGCCTCCAGTCTGAAGCCTGACCATGGATTTGGGTCTCACCAGCCTCTCTGACTATGTGAGCAGTTTCCTGATCCAGATCCCACTCCCACCCTTTCTATGCTTTTGCTCCTCTAGAGAAGCCAGCCTGTGACACCCTGCCTACCACGCTGTACCTTCTATGGTCAGGCCAAAGCCACCTGGTCCTGCTTCCCACAGCATGTGGGGGGACCACGAAGCTGGCCCGCACTGTAACTCCTAGTTCACAGATCTTTGGGCTCCACCTGGTGAACACCTTGAAGACACAGCCTATGCTGTATTTGCATTTGGCCAGTGCTGGGCAGAGGGTCCAGCAAAGCAGAAAATGCACCAAGTGTTTGTTGGGAGAATAAAGACTAGATGACCGACCACAGAACACCAGCCATGCTGCAATCCTGAGAGGCCTCTGTGAGCACCCCCAAGCTGAAACCGTGGCTCTGGGCAGTGTGCCCCAACAGCTGAAGCTGGCCTGGCCTCTTACCTCTTGATGACGTCATTTTCCACCATTGTACTGTCCACCACCACAATCTGCTCAGGGATCTTCATGTCCACAGAAATAAGGCCCAGAGAGAAAAGGGACAGGACAGCCACACAGTGTCCCCCGGGGGCGTCCAGCGTAAAGGCCAGGAGGTCATTTGCAGTGCTGTCATTATCCTGGTCTTTGTCTTTGAAGGTAAAACAATCAGGCTGGTCTGACTTGCCAGCTGCCAGCATTCTGCTGAAGAACTGGAATGACTCTGTACAGATGGTGCTTGGGAAACGCCAGGTGAAAACCCTGCACGGATGGAAAAAGGGGGGAGCCAGAGTGAGCACTGAGGGTAGGAGGTTCTCATCTGCCTGGGGGACTGTCACTCCAAATCACCGTGGTCAACACCAGGCAGTCCCAGGAGGAACAGCCGGGCTCTCACTAACTGCCAGTGTCCTTCCCCACCTCTGAGCACCTGGAGGCTGGGCCACGCCTCTCCATCTTGTAATCAGTCCCAAGGCCCAGTCCTTGCTCACATGGACAAGAAAACTGTACTGTTTGATCATCTGGTAGAGAAATCAAGCCCTGAGCCCAGATGGAGGGCTCACTGCATGAGGCCGGTGCAGGGGTGAGCCCTTGCTCTGTCCAGGAGTGTAACCTTCATTGACCAAGTAGAAAGGGAGTCAGAGAAGGGCTCAAGAGGCCCTGGTCCTGCTGCCCACACTCGTGGGTCAAATGTGAGACCGTGTGCCCAGTGAAACTGCTCGAGTAGCCTAACTGGACCTGAAGCTTTACTGAAGCCTTGCCGACCTGCTTTCAAATCCACAGGTCTTCCTGTAACAGGCTGCTTTCCAGGAAGGAAAGGGCCATGGGAATGAGGATTTAGGAAAAGAGAAGGTATCTGAAGTTAGAGACAGGATAAAAGAATCAAACAAAATCCCCAGTTCACTTGTAAGTCTCTGAATGCGGAGAGTGGGCCAAGACCAGCAAGGAGAAGGGGAGGCTGCTCGGGGTAGGCGGAGCGTCTCAGGGAGGCCGGGGACCAGCGGCCAAGTGTGCACACACGGTATGGAACCATGCTAGGAGAGGAGCCCTGGAAGTCAGTTCAGAGAACTCACCCCAGGTCCCCGCGCTGCCACTGGGGGACTGCGGAGCTACAATCAGCCACGGCAGAGTGAAATGAAGCCTGTGGTCTGCACGGCAGGAGAACTAAGTGCATCTGAGCTGTGAGGATGAGGGACTGGCAAGGAGAACACGCTTTTAACGGGAGCAATTACTAAACAGAAAATAATGTTGCTCAACTGGACAGGAGAGAAAGAAATCCCGCAAAGGGTAAATGCCTCAACACAAGACCGTGTTAACCTCATCCTCACACAAGGACGCAGGACGGCCGCTGCTGAGAAAGCTCACTCTCAGGGGCTACTCTCAGCCCCCACCTTCTCTGATGCCACGACTCCTAGGACACAGGGCAAGCCTCCAATCTCGCTCGCATGGCCCCTGAACCCTGGAGGGCCAGCTCTGTGCACCCTCACCTGTGGCAGGCCCGTGCGCCCTCACCTGTAGTAGGACTGGGACAGCTGGTAGGACATCGGCACGAAGGGCAGAGCCCGGTTTTTCTTGGGCCCCAGCGTGTGATTGACCCGGCGCCGGTTGACCAGGCTCCGTTTCTGGTACTCCACGAAGGCCCGGACCAGAATCTGCTCCTTATACTCCCGGTATATGCGGAACGTCTGCAACACAGCGGGTCAGGGGTGAGGAGGGCCGTGCGGAGGAACAGGAAAGACCACGGATGCTCGGAGTGAGCACAGGCACCTGGCAGTCCCAACTCTCAGGCCATCGCTCCCCACCATCAGGCCACTCTTTCAGAGATCGATGAAGTCAGGCAGCTTGGAAGAAGGCTGCTGGTCACTGTCCACACCACCTCTCAGATGCAGGGACGCTGAGTGGCTCTGCAGAACTCCTATCCCTTACCTCTCCCCCCTTCCTGCTCTCAGATCAGAGAAGGTCACACTGATACCAGCTCCCCACTACACAAAGCATACATTGGGGGCATAAAACAGGGACAAGAAAATAAAACCCCCAGTTAAAGGGCTGGATGCTAACAGTATAGAATGTGACCAATGCCATCTCGCTGGTCTGAAGACCCCAGATGTCACTCCAGGAGGTGCAACAGAAACTCAAAGGAACCACGGCCAACACTTGACAGGCAAGAAGACGAGAAATCAAATTTGCACCAGCAGGCCATCTTGGGCTTGTAGAGGCCTGAGTGCTACATTAGGGAGCCCTCTGAAGCCCAGCAGTCAAACCTGAGCCTTCTGTCCTGAAATCAACGCTTCTCCTGGCCTTCCTTCGGGGCCCTCAAAGCCAGAGTAACAATCACATGCCTGGGGAAAACAAGCAATACCAAGCTGGGGGTGGGGTGTTGGGGGGGGGCACACCAGTGTTTCCCAAAGGGTGGTCCATGTGCCGCCTGCCTCAGCATCTCGGAGACGGGAGGCACACACAGGTTAAGGTCCCCCCCACTGCCACCCTTGCTGGACGTGCTAGCACTTGTGTGGGGCCACGTGCTAAACGAGCTTTTCAGCTGACCCTCAGGTCCCTAAAAGTTAGGGATCCCACCAGTCTACATCCATCAATAGGGTGAGAAAACATCTCTGAGTTTTAATTTTTCTTTCACGTTCTAGAAAGGGGTGATTTGGTAAGGGAAGCCAAAGGAGATGCTTTTTAGGGTTTGAGATTAAAGGAGCATTGTAGGTAGCATCTCTGTTTGAGATCTGAACCTCCATCTGACGACCTGTGTGATCTTACTGCCTTTTTAAAAAAATTATTATTAACGTCTCTGAACCTCAAGTCTCTGTATTTGTACAAAGAGTAACAATCACACCAACATCCCCAGCTCAACGTGGGATCAAATGAGCTCCACTTTCTCTCTTTCATCTTTCTTTTGACACAGGACAGCAGAGCATCAGAGATCCACCGCTTCCTTGGGACACATACAGGACGTCCTGCCAACAGAAAGGCAGCTTTCCATGCAGCCTTTTATGATCAGAAACTCTCAGCATTTATTATTGAGGAGGGAAAAAAAGCCATACAGCTCAATTACTCTCACAGTTTTTGTCATATCTCATTTCTTCTGCCTAATTTTCTGCTTCAAATGGTAGCTTCAAGTCCCCAGCAATGGAGGGATCTGAGGTCACGGCATCCCATCTCCACACTTTAAAGGTGAAAGAAGAGTGCATCACACCTCAGCAGGCACGGCCCTGCAGGGGCCCAGCCCAGCAGCACTCACCTGGAAGGACTGGCAGGACTTCATCTGGTTGTCGGAGAGGGCCAGGGTGCTCTGGATGAGGTTCTGCAGCACCAGGAAATGCACATCGTCCATGCTGAAAGACAGAAGGTGCCGGGCGGCGTGAGCCTGGGGTTCCCGGGATGCTCATCACCAGGACAGGACGCGCGCGTGTGTGTGTTTGTGTGGGGGGCTGGGGTCATGGAGGGAAAATCCAACAGGCTCATTAAAGTAACAATAAAGACCAATCAACGACCTTGCTGACTAGTCAATTCTTAGAGGCAAAGAGTTTCAACGTAGGGCGCAAAAAGGTGATATATCCTCGAAACACATTTTCTATGTGAGACAATTAATAAAACGCAATCTGGGCTTCTATTTTTTTCCTCTCCAATTACAAACACATTTTCTCCCCTGCAACGAGACTAGGCTTCTCATTGAATATGGGTGTTAAAATGAAATGGAACAAAAACGAATTAATATTCTATGATGGTTTGGAAGCAGGAGTGGCATTCACTTCCTAAATAACATGCCTCCAGAAACTGTGATAAATGTTGATGGTTGTAGAGAGGCTTCAGGCCTTTCGTTCATGGGGTCGCTATGAGTTGAGCTTGACTCAAAGGCGATCAACAACAGAACAACATTATTCTACGATGGAGGTGGGAGGAAGAACTTTCTGAGCCCAGTGATACGCTCAGTTATGCGCAGGCAAACCTGTCCTGGACAGGGCTCAACAGCAGAGTCTCCGCACACTTCACTGACAGCGGAGGTGGGAGGGCAGCCTGGATTGGGCCCACAGCCAACACCAACCAGCAGGTGAGGAATGGGGCCCCGGTACACCTGTACTTGCCTGTTAAGTTCATCCTCTTCAATGACAGGATCTTTTTCATCTCCAATTGCCAGAACTCGGTATCTGCGTAAAAGGGACGGGAAGGCCACGTCAATGGAACCAAGAAAATACTACCAGGGCTGACAGGAGCTCCTGGCGGCCAACGCTCGACTTTACCAAAACTCAGTGTTGTGAACACAAATGAAAATGAGGAAATGTGGTCTCTTCTCACTTAATAAGTCTGGAACTGCGGGATTACAGCAAGCACAGGAGAGAAGAGAGCACACAGGGAGGACACAGCTTCCCAGGACTCGAACCTGCGACAATTCCCTGTCTACTCCTGAGCTGCACACAGTAACACCGCTTTACACTGTGTTTACTCTAAGGGTGGATACGAGAGTAAATCATAGAATTGGCTTTTTTAAAAAAAAAAAAAGAAACAATAAAAAATCCTGTCCTTTATAATATTTTGTTTAGTTTCTATAAAAGAAAAAGTACGTTTCAGAAAAACACTTGTGAACATTTTCAGTCATACAAACAAGTAAAAATGTGCAACGCTTTCTTTTTTGCCTTGTCTGCCTGAATGTGTGAGATCAAATTTATTGCTAAAGTGCCAACTTTTTCTTTCTTTTAAATGATTCATGAACTCTCTTTCAAAAATAAAAACCAAACAAGCCTTTTTTTAAACTCTAGCCAGAATGCTCCTTGGAGTCATGGATTCTGAAGCTTCGTCTGACATACTTTGGGCATATTACTGGTCCTTGGAGAGGGACATCATGTTTGGTAGAGCGGAGGGATGGTGCAGGAGAGGAAGAGCCTTGGTGAGATGAATCGATTCTGTGAGTGGAGTGGTGGGAGTGTGTCTGAGACAGTGAAGTTGGCACAGGATAGAACGGCGGTTAGGGCTCTTGTACATAGGGTCGCTATGAGTCACAGTGACTCGATGGCACATGACAACAAACAACAACTATCGTATTTATGACCAACAGTTGTTCCAAAGCATCACTGGAAATAAGTGTGACTGTAAATGACAGATACACACTACAGGCTAACAAGCTATCTGAACCACCCGACCTCAGGAGACACTCAGTCTACCGGCACACCACAGCTCAGAAAATCAGGATCTGCCTCTGAGTGTAGAGAGCAGTGGGTGTGAGGCCTCAATAGCATGTGAGCTACTGTCCATCTACCATCTAAGATGATGGGTCTTGACTCAACCAGGACCCAAACAGTCAGAAGATAACCCAAAGCTCAACACACACATATATAACAACATATATAACATATATCAACAAGCCATAATGAAAATCTCAAAGAAGAAACGCATCTTCACCAGCCAAAACCTCATCTTCCCTGAGACGAGGAAGATCTAGATGGTGCCCAGTGGCCACCATGGGCTATGCTGACGGGGCTACAAGAGTTGATTTTAAATAAAAGGCGAGAAAAATGTGGAGCAGAACTCAAATTCTTACTGGGAGGAAAATAAAAAAGTCCTACAAACTGAACAACGGAGCACAGAGGACCCCATGAAACCCTTCAGACGGAGCACAAAGCCTATGCCCCAAGATCAACTTTAAGCAACATAGTGGAGTAGTGAACAAAATAGAGGATAGTTATTACTCATAAGGTCAGTGCTATCACTCACAAAATGTCATCAGAATGAGATCAGTTTGAGCAAAAGGCCAACAACTACTCAAAAGCAAAGATGAGAAGATAAAGGGAGAAGAAAAAGAACGTGAAGTGAATGTTGACATAACTGATGTCACTGAATGATTTGTGTGGGAATTGGTCAATGGGAGCCTAACTTGCTGTGTAAACTTTCACTAAAGACTCAATACAAATTTGTAGACATTGATTTTTAAAAAGAATAAATAGAAAACATACCATTTGGAAACTGTGGTAAATAATTCGATACAACTAAAACTAAAACCCCAGGAAAGTATGGGCTCTCAGGCTAGTCGGTGAGCAGATCCTTCCTCGTGCTAGGCCCCTCTCAGAGATTACACACACTCAGAAGATGTGCACGGACAGAGAGCACACCTACCACTGCAGGGCCTGCGTCCAGTCCAGGGCTCGGCCTGGGGTGTCCAGCAGTGCCTGTCAGGGGCTGGGTTCCTGGCCACTTTCAGGCCAACCACAACCAAGGAGGCTCTCTGTGTCTTACGGGACAGAAACAGGACAGGACTCTCTGGCCACCTGAATTTCTGCTCTTACCCAACGGGACTCACACAGAACCCTGAGAAGAACCTCACCTGGCAAATAGCTCCTGGAGCGTGTCTGGGATTTCAAGGTCAGGGTTCTTCAGGGATGAACTGAACTTCACTTTCAGCTTCTCCACAAATTCTTTAAATTCACTGGCACAAACCTGAGGATGTGACAGAAGGAAAAGTCAACATCTTTCACTGTGAGGGCGTGTCTGCGTCAAGTTCCCGTGGCCGCTGGGTGTGAAGCCCGGGTGGTGCTGCCCGCTCTGCCTTGCCCACCTCCCCATAGGCCTGCCCAATGCCCACACAGCACACCTGACCTCCTACGCTCGGGGACTGGAGCCTGTGGGGCAAATGAACTGACAGGCCTCACAGCTGCACCCAGGTCTCTTTCCAGAGCCCCCAATCTAAGCAGGGTCCCTAGGATGTCTTCTTCTCAGAGTCTCGCCTCTTCATACCCACTTCCCAGAGGGGCTCCTCACTGTTCCCCTTCCTGTCCTCCACCCACCAGACACTGTCCACTCCTCCCAGAAGACAGTGCAACCTCCCCACTGGTCTCTCCACCCCGCAGTTGGATAACCTCCAGTTCACTCTCTCTGAATGGTCAGAAATGATCAAGCCAGGCCCCTGTCCAGTGCTGCGCCATCTTTGGCCGCCGAGGCCTTGCTGGCCCAAGCCCGCCACATCCTTCTGCTGTCCTGAGGCTGCCGTGTCAGGCTGACACGTGCCGGGCCTCAGGGCCCAGCGAGTCACTGCCTTCCAACACCTCTGCTTCTCCTGTGCCCTCACCTTCAGTTCTGGGTCAGGTCTTTTTCAAAGCCCTCCTTCATGCCCTTCATCCCCAATCCTTTTCTCATTTATGGAGTCAGCCCTGATCTAGTTTGGAGAGGGAACATGCCCACCCTCAGAAGTGAGATAGGCCAGATCCAGGCCAATCATGGCAGCTGTGTTACCCTGAGCCAGCCACATCCACACGACCAAGGCTGTCATCAGCATGCTTCCGAGAAGCATCTCCCCTCCCCAACACAAGGGACTCCGGTGGGTGTGTGTGTGTGTGTGTGTGTGTGTGTGTGAGAGAGAAGGCACCCCCTCCTTCATGGACAGTGAGGGAAATGACAGAAACAGGCCAGGTCCTTGGTGGCCCTGCTGTTGCTGTTCAGCACCAGCCCAGGGCTGCACAAGAGAAACAGGAAGTCTGAAGTCCCGTTAGGCTGGGTTTTCTGCATTCAAACTACTCCTGATGACTCTTCCTAACCTGCTGTGCTGCGCTAGGGGGTCTGTCCAATGCTGTGCAGTGAAATCCTCTTCTCGGCCTCATCCGCTTCCCCCTACATGCCCTGAGGGCCAGGGCTGGACCTGGTGTGGGCAGGGCTGACACACACACAGCAAGTGCCCAGTAAACTGAGCCAAGAGCAGGGGTGTCTAGGTCTGGAAAAAGCATGCAGTAAACAGAGCTAAGAGCAGGGGTGTCTAGGTCTGGAAAGACGGCTTCCTTCTCTTGAAAACACCTTGCAAGACCCATTGCCACTCAGCTCATGAGCCCCTGCGAGTTGGTTTCAGCCTCACCAGGCGAGGACTTGAGAGCGCGCTGGGTAAAGGTATTCTCAAGATGCAAACTTCCACCCTCTCTCCAAGCTTTCCCGGGAAGGCTAGCTGCTGGCTGTCTCCAAAGAGCTGCTCTATTTCTTAACAAACAGCCCAAGGCTCAGCAGCACTTCAAAGCGGCCTGGCAGATTCTAATCCTCTCTTAACACAAAGCTGGAAGCCGAGTACATGTGGTTCTAAACCAGACACCTGAGGTGCTGCTGTCCCCCTGGAGCGTGGAAACGGGCATGTTGGGGTGAGGCTGGCAGAGTCACTGTGGGTGTGGGGGGCCAGGGAGCCAGCCCACAAAGGCCACCTTTGGAGCAGTCTGGGCCACTCTCCACAGCCTCCCTGGGACCTACCTTTGGGTCATCATAGTTGGACTTGCGGTTGATAAAGTCTCCAATAAGTGCTTTATCCTGGTATACCTCGGCGAGGCAAATCCTGCGGACAGGGAAGAGAGAGGTGAAGCCCAGCAACTGTAACGACACTGACGTGCAGAGCCGTCAGAAGCTTCCTGCTCTAACCTTTCTGGTCTGTACCAAACAAATTATCACTGACCACACACCTATTAGAGAATTATAGCTTTAATACCGAGGGCCATGGGCCCAGGTAAACCCGAGTCAAGTCAAGCCTGCTGGCTAAATGGAGACCAGTGGCTTCTACCCGCGCTGGGAGGGTACCTGGTCAGGCCAGCCTGGGTTGAGAGTGCACTGTGGATTTTAAAATCTCCTTGGGACTCTGGTGGTATTATTAATAAGAGCTCTAATTCCCTTCAAACACTGTCCATGCCCTAAACCTTCACATCTCCGTGATTTCAGGAGAGCCTGAGTTGCTCAAAATGAAAGAGAAAATAAAATACATTTGCTCTAACTCTAAGCTCTAACAGGAACTTTCAGAGTAGAGGCCACCACTCCATTGCAAAGGTCAGTGAAGCAGAAGGCCTAAGGTCAGCAGTGGGCAGGGCAGGTGTGGCTACAAGGAGCATTATAGATCTGCTTCACACATAGGAAACAGCCTATGGGGACACGCCCCGTCTTAGGTCCCCTGCCACCAGGGAACTCAAGCGGTCGCCCAACTCAGGATCCCCTCTGGTGGCACTTCTGTCCACCACAGCTGGGAGAGGAGAGGGGTATGCACCGCTCAGGGGCCAGGAAGCCCGCCATCCAGCTCTCCTGTCTTCATTACCCAGATCCACCTGCTTCCACTTCTGAAAACAGAGTGGCCAAGCCAGCAGAGCCCTTTAAGCTAACGCAGACCAAGAGTCTATGTCCGGGGAACGTGGAGTCACACAGGTGTCGGTATGTCAAGGAGAGCTGCTGGTTCTCAACGAGTGGTCTGTCTCCTGGGGGACATGTGGGGACAATTTTGATTGTCACATTGCAGGGAGGGTGCTGGTATTAGGTAAGGGCCAAGGATGGTGCCAAACATCTTACAATGCACAGGAAAGACCCCACAGCAAAGAATCATGCAAACATCACAGTGCTGTGGAGAAGCAATCCTGGCTCACGTGGTCTCCTCCATAATTCAGGGTCATTATGCTCAATCTCGCTCAAAAATCCAAGCCGAGCACAAGGTCCAGAACTAAGCCGGTGCCACGTTCTTCCGGCCTGTGGTCAGGACAGCCAGCCGGTGGTGGGGGCTCATCCTCTCACCTGGTCTACCCTCCTGTGTCCCCACTCTCCCCACGGCTGCATTGCTGGGGAGCCCTTTGCACACTGCAGAACTACTTGGTGCCTGAATTCAAGCGTACACCTTGCAGAGGGAGGTGGAGGAGTCTGGCGGGCTGGCAATGGCTATGCGGCCCTGGGAGGAAATGGGCGGAGAACCTTGTCGGTCGAGGAAGCTTCGTGATGCTCAGGCAGCTGCCCTTACCACACGCAGGCCGTGGTCAAGGGGCACCCTGGGCACAGCCAGCTATACTGGAAATCTGGCTGAGCTGTTCCTGGGCTGCGTTACATGACAAAAAACCAACACGGAGCTATCAAAAGCTGCTCTGGAGTGGGGAAACCAGCAGTGAAAACCATGACTCCTTGGTTTCCAACAGCACTGCTGCTGGGCTGGGACTGACTCACCGCTGACCCTCCAGCGGGTTTAATCAATCGCGCGGGGGAGCCTGCCGTCTCCTCAGGAGCTGCTGGTGGATTTGAACCACCGGAGGCACAGCCTCTGGTTAGCAGCACCGTTCCCTACGGCCTGGGCCACCAGCAACATCAGCCGGTCTCCCTCAGCCTGCCTCGCCTCCAGCTCTTCACCTGTGACACTGGATAAGAAGAGCTCCTTCTTCAGGCACTTCTAAAGCCCACAGTCTATCACCCAAGTTCAGAGTACGAAGACTCACACTCGGCCCTCAAGAGAGCAAGGACCAACTTAGCGATAAACTCCTGAGAGAGGAAAAACCCTCCTGGAAACTCAAGTGGAGTGGCTTCTGTTTGAATTTCACACAAGAACTTAAAGAATTGGGATGAAATGAGTCAAGAATGACTTGTAAGTAGTAGCATAGCCTTGCCCTGGAGCTATGGAAAGGCAAGTGAGGCTTACTTGTAGTTCAGATAGGCCTGTGGGTTTTTCACCAAGTAGCGAGCTCTTCGTCCAACCGAATGAGACGTTTTATCCAAAGACTCTTCGAGGGTGCTATGCAGAACGTCCCGAACAACTTGCCACGGAACAAACGGGCCCTTCACCTGGATCAAACAAAGAGCCAAGAAGAGTCAGCATCCTGGGCCCACATGACAAGTAATGAATGTAAAGGAGTGGGGGAAGGCTTGCATCTCTGGATTGAGTCTGTTTTCTCATTGTCCAATACTCAAAACTCACCTCAGGCTTTTGAGTAAAAGGCGCTACTCAAACCACACTTACCAGACCCCCCACCGTATGCCCGGCACTAAGGGATGGGTGAGGGAGAGAAGACCAGACCTCAATGTCCTTCCGGCCAGTTCTGGCCACATGGTAGTAGGGCAGACAATTAAGGGTACAAAACGTGCTTAGTTAAGAGGGTTTTAAAAGCCTAACTATATAGTTACAGGTGCTGAGAAATAGACTATAGATGCGGACTGTATGATCTGTTAGTAGAAACAAAACTTGCTAAATCAGCAGGACAGTCAGTCAGTAATACACAGGGTTGCAGAGCCAAGATGAGGCAAGGGGCGGTGACAAGGGTACTTTCTTTATAACCATAAGCAGGAGGTCACCTAAGAATCTGTTGTAAATTCAGACTGGGAGAGAAGAGTCCAGCTGCTATAATGAACTGTGAGGGACCACGCCTACTGGTTCCCCAGCTGCATCAAAGGCCGTCCCGCTGCTTTACTGAACTGTGAGGGACCCCTGCTACTGGTTCCCCCACCAGGAAGATCCAGAGGACAGAGCAACACAGCGTGTTTCAGGTTCTTCCCTGGAGAAGGAGCGGGATTGTAACTTAAGATGGACAAGTGACAGGGGAGAGAATATGGAGAAAAGACCTAAAGAGCTTGTAGCAGAGCATCCTGAACCCCCGGACGGCACTTCTCTTGGCCGGTGTGCTTATGATCATAGCCCACCAATCACGTTCTGTATGAAGCTGCCTCACTCACTCGCTCTACCTGGCTGTGTGACTACCTGGAAAGGTCTTTCCCAACAGGACACTCGCCCACCTTGACTGCACACTTTGAGAATCAAGACAGAAAGACAAACTTTGCCTAGGGCTGTGGGATCTTCTTGGGGGATGTGGTAACAGAGGAAGAGGTTTCTAATCTGAGGGCAACAGCTGGCAAGGCCCGTGCTACCTGCCTGGGATTCTGACACAGAAGTGCTGGGGCATGTGGAGAAATGCAGAAGGCATGAGGGCTGGGGACCATGTAGGAGGTGAACCTTGGGAAGCCAGGCCAAGGCTACTGACGCCACTGCACTCCGATTTAACAAAGACGGGCCGAGTGACTACCCTGCAGAAGGCACCAGGCTAGGCACTTCAGTTCCAAGTACTCATAAGACAAGTCTCTTTGTCTCTAAGGAGCCATGAATTGCCAGAACCATGGGTAAGCATCATGCATCCAAGAGACAAAGACAGAAAAGGGTCATTACTTTCAGTTGGCAGCGACCTGAAGCTGTTCCTGAGATGATAAAGCAGTCACTGAAAGATGGATAGATTTACAGGCGCACGAGAGGAGGGAGGAGGGAGGCAGGAAAGGACTGGGTATCTGGTAAAGAGAGACAGGGTGAGGGCAGTTCTGAGCTAGTTTGCCTGCAGTGTGGCAAAAAAACCCCTGTACACATTTCTATGAAGGCTGGAATAAAATGTATAAAAGTGGGTTATTCATTTGTTGTGTGAGAACTGTTTTCCGAGAGGCCAAGCAGAGTGGTCCTGGGGGCCGTGAGCTGCCCTGGAAGGGTCTCCAGGGGGCCAGCTCCTGTGAGGGGGCCAGCACGTCGGCCGGCGGGGGCCCGGCGGGCTCGATACCTTGGTGTTGAGGATGCTGCTGGCGATTCGGCAGAAGATGAGCAGCCTGTCCTCCTGCATGGACCAGGTGACACGCAGGCGGGTCATCCGCTGCAGGGCGCTCTGGTCGGCCTCGTCGTGGTAGCGCGGCTTCCTGCCTTTCTCCTCGGGGAGATCTTCTAAAACCACAGGGAGAGAGAGGAGCCTCTAACACCGTTCTCAGGAGAGGGGAGAGGTGCCGGCCTCGTGGCTAAGAGCTGTCGAGGGGGCCCTTCTCAGAATCCCACTGTGTCTAAAGCCCTGTAAGACAGCCACCGAGAAAGGGCCTTTCCCCAAAATGGCTTGAACTTTTAAAACTACATTTGGTCGCGCTGGCAGCGGCAGGGAAACAGGTTTCACAGATGCCACAAGTCATCTGGGGCGCTACCGGAAAGCTGGCTCGGGGAGCTCCCCACCGCTTCTTCCATTCCCCAGCTGCTTCCTAATACCCTGGGAATGTAAATCCACAACCTGGAGCCGGCTCTGGGTCAGTTAGGAGGATTCTAACCTGTTTGCTTAAAACAACAATAGAATAACCAATAACAAAACACAACACAAAAAGCCCCACCAATCTACTTTCACCATTTGTCTTTGGTCAAATTTCATGGTAACAGATAGGGGACAGAGTGAATATAGCTTTTCATTTATTATCCTGCAATCTCTAATCTGAGTCCTTTGAAGGTGTTTTTATCCAGAAGCTGAGGAAACACACCCAGGGCGTTGCCCACAGAAGGCACCTGACAATGGAGCCAAAAAAAGGAAAAGGAAAAAAACCCACAAATATGGCTTTGTCTGGTCATGGTAAGATTTATCAGACTTACTTTATGCTGCTGATGTTGAGAATATCAACATCACACAGCAGAATATACACCGGCTGGCTCAGCACTTTCTACAATTCAGAGATACATACTCAAGGTCTTTTCTCCCTCAAATGGTTCCTTCCCCATTAGCATAACTCACTGCCCTCTAAGTTTTCAATCTGCTTTCATATGTTGTTGTACTATTGAGTTAAGAGCCATTCACAGCCAACACTCTAGGTTTTCAGAGACAATAAAATACCCAGAAAGAGAATGCCCATCTTTCTCCTGCAGAGCAGTTGGTGGATTTGAACTGTGTACCTTTGGGTCCACAACTCCCGACCACCTCACCACCACTGCTCTGATCTCACAAAGCCAGATCTTAAAGGAGCACAAGTGACACTCTCTCTACTAGCAAAGTGAAACTTACGGTTTAGTTGTAGAGGATTTTGGGGGCTATTTCTCATTCACGATTTAATAATTATCTCAGGACCACATAGTTTTGTGGGTTTATCTAGGCCCCATTGTTCAAGATCTGAATTCTGCGCAAAATCTTAACTTCTGTTTTGTATTTCTCCCCTTCTGATAAGGATTTAGTTGTCTACAGAATTTTTTTTATCAAAATGCTCACTAATGGGCTTGGTAAGGTTCTGCCCCCGCTACCCAGCTGAAATGAAATTAAAAATCTAAACTGACCTAAAAAGGGAGTTATTGAGGTGAAATGCTCTATAAATGCCAACACCAAAAAAGCTAGGGAAACATATGGGAAAATTCTGGCTCTGGGTTGGTCAAGTGGGTTTGGAAAAGAAAGCAGCAATCATACTGCCCCCATGACACGTGAAGGAGCATGGGCACCTGCTTCGGAGGGCAGATCTCAGCTCTGGCCCGAGGGAAACTGCTGCAAAACAGACCTCCCAGCCAGGGCGGGTAAGGACAAGGAAACATCGCACTGCGTCACCTTTTTTCTTCCTCTTGATTTTCCTCCCTGTGTCCCTCTTCAGTCGCTTCCGCTTCTGGCCTCTCCCGCCCCTCACTCTTTTGTTTCTGTCCAGCGTGGACTCCGAGTCCACCTCAAACTCTTCTCTGTCAGCAAGGCGCTCAGGGGCTGCTTTCATCTCTCCCCACATGTTCAACCGGTTACCACCTAGAAACAAACACAGGAGGCCACCGTGCCAGGATGAGCTCTGCACCACCAGGCACGACAAACCAAACCAGGGGCAGCCACACTGGTCATGAACTGGTATCATGTCTATTTCTGGGGGTGAACTCCCGGCGTACGTACCTCCGCTGCCGAGGGGCAGTGGGTGCTTGGTCAGAAATGTCTGCAGCCTCATTGTGAGCCCGTTTTCGGAGGAAATATTCTCCTAAAAGACAAGGACATCGCTAGAGTGAAGCATACACCCACTTTGGTCCAGTTGGTTCCGGCTCAGGGCGATCCTGCCTCTGCCATCCGAGCTGTAAATCTCTATAAAAGGAGACTGCCTGGCTTGCTCCCATGGAGCTGTTAATGGATTTGAACTGTCAACCTTTCAGTTGGCAGAGTGATACTTTACCCACTATACCACCTGGGCTCCTTGGAATAAAGCACACGCTTCAGTTAATCACCAAGAACCCAGAGCAAAAAGGGACTTTGTTTTTGCTGGACCCTTACACAACACCCCTCGGAGCAACAGTCAAGAGATCAAGCTGTGTGCTGCACTGGTCAGTCTGCTCTCAGGACATGTGTAAAGGGGTAAAGAATAAGGCTGTCATTTAAAAAACGAATGTGAGCCCAACTCAAGCCATGGTATTTTTTTTAAAATGTTTTTAATTGATACCTTTGAGCTGTGGTGCTGGAGAAGAGTATTGAGAATACCATGGACTGCTAGGAAAACAAACAGATTTGTCCTGGAAAGGGTTAAACCGGGTGGCTTCTTGGAGGCAAGGATTCTGAGGCTCCGTCTAACATACTTTGGACATGTTGTGAGGAGAGACTGGTCCTTGGAGAGGGACATCATGCTTGGGAGAGTGGAGGGACAGCGCAGGAGGGGAAGGCCCTCTATGAGGTGGATTGATTCAGTGACTGGGATAATTGGGATGGGAGTGTCAGAGACAGTGCAATTGGCACAGGACAGAGCGGAGTTTAGGACTGTTGTACATAGGGTCGCTATGAGTCGCAAGCGACTCGAAGGCACACAACAACAACAATTTTTTATGTGTGTACTGTCAAATCTGATCTGACTGGTACAGGAGGAGATTGTCCCTCCTTTTCCAGCAGAGCATCTGGTGGATTCAAACCGTGTGCCTCTGGGATTGCAGTAAGCCATGATATTTTCAACTGCTTCTTATGTATGTGAAAGACAGACAATGAGTCAGGAAGACTGAAGAGCTGATGCTTCCAAACTGTGGTGCTGGCAGAGAGTACTGACTATGCCACGGACGGTCAAAAGACCAAACGCAGCTGTCCTGGAAGAAGAAATGCAGCCAGGGTGCTTCTTTGAGGCAAGGACGGCGAGCCTTTGTCTCATAAACTTTGGGCGTGTTACCAAGAGGAGCGAGTCTCTGGAAAAGGTGAGAGTCGGTGAAAGAGAGGAAGACCCTCAACGATGGACTGACAGCAAGTGCACAAGAGGCTTGAGCACAGCACGGATGGTGGAGACGGGGCTGGATTCTCGGGCACTGCGTCTCTACCAGAGCACACACAGTCCTCCTTGAAGGACCACCCTGCCACACCAGTCAGTAAGTTAGGGGCCCTCAAAACAGAACAGGCCAGGCTGTCAAGGGAGTGAAGAGGGTTATGGGGCTGGCCCGCCTTCAGTACACATCTGCTTCCCTGATCAGCCCTGCTCGCACGAGTGGGGAAGCTGGGGGTGGGGGGGAAGGAGGAGGAGGAGGAGGAGGACTGGAGGTCCCGCGGGGCCAGTGATGGGGAGGGCACGCGCCTACCTTCTTGTCCTTGTTGATGATGTAGCTGGTCCAGATCCAGTTGCGCTTTAAGTGGCCGTAGAAACTAGAATCCAGCCCAGCGGCCCCCAGCCCATCTCCGGGGATTACACCATCATCCACGGCCTCACGGCTGCCCCTGAAAAATAGAAAAACACCACTGAGCCCTCCCGGGTAACTGAAGAGGCCATGGAAGGGGTGTGGTCTTTGATTTACAACCAACTCCCTCCCCAAGAAACAGCTGAGGGGCTAAAATGGAGAATTCGGGAGCCCCCCTGGAGGGTCAGCTGCAGGTCAGTTCTGACCTGATGGTACAAAACAACAACAGCTGTTAACATAAGGGCGCTCTGATGGCCTGGCGGTAAGAAGCTGCACTGCAATCCCAAAGGCACATGGTTCAAATCTACCAGCTGTTCCTCAGAAGAAAAGAGGGTGATTTACAGCCTCTGAAAACCCGCTGGAGGGCCAGCTATGCGTGGGTTCCAACTCGACAGCAAACAGCAACATATGCCGACATAAGAAATCCAGAGCTTTAGGTAAAACTTTTCGTTTTTGAATGCTGACAACTGACTCTTATTATTTAACACTATATGGGGGCCATAGAAAATCTGGAGGCCAGATGCGGGCCCCGGTCAGCAGCTGCAGCCTCGGGCAGAGGCGTGGGCGTTGCTGTGACCTCCGGGCGGCCGTCAGGGCCCGACAGTGGGGAGGCGCGCACGTACGTGGTGTACTCCAGCAGGGCACACTTGCGCTCCAGGTTGTGCTTGTCGATGGCGTTCTCCTGCTCCTTCTGCAGACTGCCCTCCTCATCGCTGCCCTGGTCGTGGGCGCTGCTCTTCTTGGGGCGTGGGTTGCGCACCACACCTGGGAAACCAAACACAAGTGGGGTGGTGACCCTTCCCGTGGGACTCGGGCAGGCCGCAGGCTGCTGCCAGGTGATGGGAGGACAACGGGCTTTCCCACCCAGGACAGCGGGTCTCAAGCTGGTAGAACCCTTTTTTACAAGACACCCTATGAAAACGATGCTGGGAGGGAGATGAAGGATCAGAATAAAGAGTTACACATGGCGGGTAGACCTGAGAAGGAGGCTTGTGAGCAGGGTGGCTCCTGTCAAGGCGGGAAGGCATGTGAGCACCCAGAGACCCAAAAAGGCCAGTAAGTCTGAGGACTTCCCGCCTGAGGACTTCCTTCCTGGAGGAGGTGGAGCCCAGGGCAGGCCCGTGTGCCAGCCCGCTGGAGGCTGTCTTGGCACGATGACCACACTTAACAGTGACGGCAGGGGTTGGGGTCAGGAAGGGTCTGATCAGATAATCTGTGACAGTGTCACTGGGCGCTGGGCTTGAAAAGGCTCGAGAAGCAGTCAGATGTTTCCTGAATGCCCAAGATGCGTGTTGATGCAGTGCACAAATTAAGATGTTATTATACAGTATTAAAAATCACATTGCTCAGGGGAAGATGGAAGGCCCTGGACTGAAAGCACGGCTTGAGTAAGGCCAAGGAAAGTCACGGCAGTTTGCAGAAGAAGTTTCTCTCCTAACACCTCAAGGTGGAACAGGCAAGGGATCAAAAAAAGAAGCTACCAGAAACAAAGTAGTTCCCAGAGGCCGAGGGGCAGGAGGGGCCATGACAGGGAGAAAGGAGCTCTCACTGAAGGACAGAGTTTATTAGTGGCTCCCAGAGGGGTGGGGGAGAAGGGATGGGACTTATTGCTGAAGGGGCACTGGATGCTGTTTGTGTAGATATAAAATGTTTGGAAACACATGGAACACGGTGACTAATTAACAACACTCGGTGCATAATAAGTTGGTTAGAATAGAGTAAGCTTTTGCTGTGTGTATGATTAGAAATAAATCCCAGTCTTTCTCTGCTCTTAGAATAAACACAATGTTCTCCCCATGGGGGGCTGGCTCAGCGTCGCCTTCCCCCCTCATCCTTCTCTCCGACTTTCATGGTGGGACCCCGCCCTGCCAGACAGCCGGCCTGGAAAGGCCCCAGCTCTGGGCCTGGCTGGCTCAGCCTCAGCTTTACGTTCTCCCCAGCAGAAGGGTTTCTGACTGCGCCATCATCACACCAGTCACCTTTTCCTGCTGACTTTCCCTCCAGCCATCTCAGCCTCCATTTCTCTGTGTGCAGTTTCAGGAGGGTGGGGATGGGGCATCCTGTCACCTTCTGTCTCACAGGACACCATGTACACAGGTGTCCGGTGACTAACCAATGATCAATGACATAAGACCAGTGTGGACTAAACTGTGTGGGATCTGCCACCACCTATGCAAGGCCCACTTCTGTCCCACAGGGACCCCTGGAGACACTCAGGCGTGGGAGCAGCCTGAAACCTCGGTGAGGCCCCCTCTTGCTTAAACCTCAGAGGCCCCGCAGCTAAGGAGGGGAAGCAGCAAAAGCAGACGGTACCTAGTGGGGTATTGAGACAGACGCACTGCAGATCAAACCAGTAGTTCTCCACGTCCTGCATGGATTCGAGGACGTAGAGGCGCCGGTCAAAGGGCCGGGTGCTGTGGGCCAGGTGGTAATGGGGGTCACAGGTGGTGGTGTCAACGATGACAGCGTTCTTCTTCAAGAAGATAAAGACCTACGAGAGAGAAATGGGGCTGGGTGGGGGCACCTGGAGCTGGGGAAGCCGGCACCGCCGACTGCCAGGACCCTGTGCTCTGCGCCGCCTGAACAGCATTACCTGGTCTTTGTCCTGGAACTTCTCCGTGGGCCCAAACTGCAACAGGCCCATGTAGCAGAGTCTCTGCAGGCTCTCGATGACGGAGAATATGTAACGCCTGTGAACACACCAGGAGGAGACTCAGGGCTCTGCGTCCGAGGGGAGGGACGCGCCCGCTCTCCCCCTTTCTATCGGGTGAGGCCTGGAGGGGTGGTAAGCGGTCCTGCCTGGTGCTGAGGCTGAGATCCACCCTTCTCACGCCCCCAACTGTGGCAGTGGGGCGTTGAACCCACACTTGGCCTTAGATGCAGCCTCTCAGCAGCCATGACTTGAGAACGAACCCTGTCTGGTATGGAGGGGGTACGGGGGTGCCTGAATGGGTGAGAGGTCATAGTCCTCACAGCCTGAAAGGCGTCCTCTCCCTCCTCCCGCACAATGCTAATGTTTAGGGGGGATGTTGGGGCCGCAGAGTGGCTCTGTGTGTTTCCGAGCCCTCACCTCTTGTACAGAAGCTGCTGCCGGATGGCCCTCGGGAGAAAGCGGATCAGCGTGTGTTTCTTCACAGGGTCGTTCAGGTAGTCGTCCAGGCCATCCACCTAAAGAGGAGAATTCCAGGTGTCGCTCACCCAAGGCCAGGGTGGACGATAAGAACCGGGGGAAAATATTCTCTACCCTTTTCCAACTACAGTTTCTCCAAATTCCACTCTGTGCTCCACATGTCGCGGGCCCCACACCACCTCCACCTTCACGCTGTCCTCTCCCTTCCAGCCCATCTGTCACTCCACTGGGGCCCACAGGGAGGTGTCCTCAGGTACTGCTGGAGCCACATAAACCGCTGAAACATTTCTAGGGGCACAAAATACTTCTTTGCACTTTAAAAAGAAAAGGCTACTCTTTCCTTCTGAAGCCCGTGAATATACTTCTATCCTCAACTCAAAGGAAAAATTTAGGAGCAGTTCACAGTCACGTCTACCCTAAGCTATCCACGACTAAGGTGTTTACAACAGAGAAAAACTAAAACGTCAGAGTCCAAAGTGAGAGTAATTAGAGGAGATTCTAAGAAAAGATACTATGAACCTTTTCATGATCAAATTTTACGATTTAAGGAGGTGGAAAAAAACGTTCAGTGGAAAGGACAGATAAAGAATAAATATAATCACAATTCATTTTTTTGATTTTTTTTTTAAATCTCATCTACACCTATGTATATGAACACGAACACACACACCCACACACAAGTGTATAGTTATGTATTATGTCTGTGTGATAAGGTTATAGGCTATTTTTATTTTCTCCTCTTCTTGTATTTACCAACCATCAAACAAAAAGCTCTGAAATAAAACCAAAACCCAATGTGTCTTATCACAAATATGTAATTATTTGTCTACTGAGCTCTGGTGGCCTAGTGGCAAGAAACTGCACTGCAATCCTGAAGGCACAGAGTTTGAATCCACCAGCTGCTCTCTGGGAGAATGGGCAATTGCCTCCCTTGCGATTAACTGTCTCTAAAAACCGGCTGCAGGGTCAGCTATGGTCAGTTCCCACCACCACCACCATCACCACCACCACTGTGTATTCTACTTATCGACTGACTCATCCATCATAAAGGGTAACTCCTAGAGTTTCAAGACTTATCCCCTGACCACCACCCAAGGCCCCCAGGCCTTTAAGTGTTGGCCTTTGTCCAGTGCAGACAGACCACGCAGTGGCCTGGTAGCCCCCAGTACCTTGTAGCAGACTTGTACAATCTGGATGAAGACGGAGAGGGGCAGGCGGAGGAGGATGTCGCTGACAAGAGCCCAGCCAAAGCCAAAGTCCCTGTGGACGGGGAGGGGAGGGACGCAGCGAGTCCACGTGGCTTCGTTCACATACACTAGAGGGGAAAAATGAACCTCAGTCCAGGCACAGGGGATGCCCCGACCACAGAGCCCTGCTGATGAGGCTGGAAGCAGAGAGAAGCCCAGAGGGCCAGGAGGTCTGGGTGTCTTGTCTCGGACCAGTGAGCTGTTTGGGAACTCTGCTAGTCCTGACGGCGGTAAGGTTTCTCTCCTGATTGATCACACCAGGGCCCTCTGGCCTCGGCACAGGCTGGCTGGGAAAAGCATTTACCTGCCTCTGTGGCAATGTCCACTTCAGTCTCCAAGATGGTGAAGTCTTCGTGGTCTCTGTTTGGGGCATCAGAGGAGGCCTCTGTGTCGTTTCCCGAGGCTCTCCCAGCCTCCTGCCTTCTCAGCCTCCTTTCACTGCGGAGGTGAGGCTTCTCCATCAGGTAGCCCTCTGGGTGTCCATAGATCAGGTACCAGAGAAACACGTGGATCATCCGCAGCCGAGGCATTTTGGGCAGAAACCCTAGAGTGCGCCCAAGTCCAGGAACTGAGGCAAGAAAGAGGGAGAAGAGAGACTGAAAACCCCCGGGTTCAATCCATTCGAAACATACCACCGCTCCACAAAAAGGTGCCGAGAGACAGCAGAGAACAGAACACTCTTATCCTAGTGGAATTTCGCTGTAGTGGGGAAAGACGGTCAACAATAAAATGCATAAAATAGTACGTCAGACAGAAACACCTAGTAAGAAGAAAACTACAGCAAAGAAGGGAGAGAAGGGTGTGATCCTACAGGCCAGGGAAGGCCTCACTGAGGAGAGGCTGGACGTCCCACAGCTGCTGAGGGGGCGGGCCAGGCGGACACTGGGCCATGCGGTGCAGGATAAGTACATGATTCCTGGGGTGAGCGCGTGTGGGGCTGTGAGGGTCAGGAGGCAGAGCACTAGGGAAGCGAGGAGGGGTGGAGGAGGTGAGGCTGGGGCAGACACACACAGAGAGAGGCAGCTCACAGGCCCTCACAGCCACCGTGGGAGGACTTTGTACTTGACGGGGCCTGTGTAAAAATCCTCCAAAGCTGGGTTCTTTCAGAGAAGTTAGTCTGTTGATCCAGCTAAGCTTCCTTGACTCTCTAGTGAGTGAGGACAGCCTGTGGCAACAAGAGAGACTACAGTCCCCTTCCCGCCTGTCAATCCGAGGCCCAAACCCACTGCCTCGGTCTAGAAAAGTGCATCGCTGTGTGGGCCGCATCCATATTATCACGTAGCCCCTTCCATGTGCAGGGAGCCAGGGCCAGGTTCGTAGCATGTGTCCTCAGAAAAGGCAGCACACGACCTATCTCTTCAGTTGGGGACGGTGGGACTTGTTGGGTCTGATCCCAGGGCACTTCCTGCTTGGCTGAGGGCTGCCCTGCTCCACCAGGATGCACATGGTGGCCCAGGAAGGAGCAGGATGAATGCCCACCCATACCACCTTCCCCACTGCACCGGTCCAGCACACACGCGTGGTCAGCGGTCAGCAACGCCAAGTGTCAAGTCTGCGAGAGCCCTGGGGAGGGAGGTACACAGGTGCTGGCCTGCCAGTGACCACCCAACCGGGGCTTCCAGGGCCAAGGGAGGCCGTTCGTGGTGCAGACAAGGTGCCAGCAGGGTTAGTCTCCATGAACCATTCTCACAATGAAGCCCAATAAACTTCTCCTGAACCCCTCAACAGATGTGTGAGTCCTGCTGGGCCAGAACCATCGGCTCCATTCTGCAGATGGAATCAGAAGCTGGCACAAACCAGGTGACCAGTGTCACAGGGCCCAGCTGGTAGGGCAGACCCTCCTGACTGCACCCCTAGTGCTTTAATATAAGACACTGAGGGACTCAAACAATGTCACACCAACAGACAAGTGAAATACAACAGGTGCTGCCAGGAAGCAGTGTTTTACCTATAACAGGTTGGCAGTTCTGAAGCTCATCTACGCCCACTTTATCATCCGCTTTTTTCATCCGTCCACTTTCAGGTTTAGAGGAGGCATTAGGCTGAGCGTATCCTGATCCACCGGGGACGTCTTTTCCTTGACTTTCTTCCTCTGTCTCTCCCTGAGACACTGGAGGCTGGGTAATTTTCACTCTGTAGTCGGAATAAAGATGAGGCAATAAAGATGTGTTAGTAACAGGGATGAGGGAACGGCCAGGCTTGTCAGTAGGGACTGGATGAAGCTATTTGGTCTCTCTGGCTGCTGCTGGGCTGGATCGGACTCATCTCAGGTGGGGTTGTTGTTGTTGTTACGTGCCGTTGAGTCGCTTGTGACTCATAGCGACCCTATGTACAACAGCCCTGAACTCTGCTGTCCTGTGCCAATTATCCCACACCGATCCCGATTACCGCAGTCACTGAATCAATCCACCTCATAGAGGACCTTCCCCTCCTGCGCTGTCCCTCCACCCTCCCAGGCATATGTCCTTCTCCAAGGACCGGTCCCTCCTTACAACATGTCCAAAGTATGTTAGATGGAGTCTCAGAATCCTTGCCTCCCAGGAGTCGCCTGGTTTAACCCTCTCCAGGATGAATCTGTTTGTTTTCCTAGCAGTCCATGCTGGAAGGAGGGTCTGATACTTCTCTAAATCTGAACATTCAGATTAAGACAGACTAGGAAGAAGGATTGGCCGTCCACGTCTGAAATAGCAGGCCTCTGAAAACCACACAGGAAGAGAGTTTTCTCCCATGACCTACACTGGTGAATTCAAGCTGTCTTTGAGTCAATTGTTACAGTTTCTTACACCAGTAGGGCTCCCTCACAGGCTGCTGCACCTGGGCAATGAAAAAAAATGTGCCAGGCCTCTAAGACATCTGGGTAGTGGGGGCTTTCCTGTAGGAAGCAGCAGCTAACGTCTGAGGCAGGTCAGATGCGCCCGGTCCACTGACATCAAGAAATGCCAGAAACCAGGACCTTTCTGTGAAATTCCACTGACAATGGTGTCACAACCGATGTGAGCTGGGAGAGGACAAAGCACAGAACAGTGTCTGCAGGCCAGAACCAGCCCCACTTGGCTGCCGGTAACTTCCAGGTCAGAGATCTCCCCTGACTGCCAGGTGCTGTCCACGTTCTATAGACAGAAGAGACCCGAGAATGCTAAGACCTGTTTTCTCTTTCATGAATACAGAAATTGGTCCTTTCTGAGACTGGGGGAATGTGGAGCAGAAACCCTAAACCAACAACATCACTGATTCACAAAGTGTAAATAAAGGGCTGGTTTCTTTCTTTCTTTCTTTTTTTTTTTTTTAGTTTAAAAATGGCTTTAGGATGGAAATGGCCCCACCATTAACTCTTCCATGACTCCGTCACTTGCCTGTTTGCTGTGCTCGAGTTGGAGATCCGGAAACGGACCTGGTCGATGGCGCTTCTCACGAGAGGGTCGTTCTGGTCCATGGACGGGTGCACCACCAGCTCCACCTGCAGAGAGGGAGAAGCACCCCAAAGGATGGGAGCAGAGTGAGGGCGCGCAGATCCTCCTCGCTGGGGGCCAATAGCTATTTATGTCTGTGCTGATAAACATTTCCGAAAGACTATCAAGATATTGGAGCAAAACATGTTGCTAATAGTTTACTGTTGTTAACTACTGGCAAAAAAAAAATACCCCTCAAATGGGCCAGTGATAAAACTTTGCCATGAGTAACGTGGCTGTTTCCCTGGGAGGGGGAGTTCTGGCGGCACACAGCACATCCCACGGCCCCTGGGCTCTGCTCCTGCCCAGTGACTGCGCCCAACATCCCTGGGTGATGCAGAGCGGCGTGGCGATCCTGAAGCCTTTCATCTGGAAAAGGTAAGCAGCTTCTGATAATCCGACCTCACTGGGAACCGCCGTGGGACTCCTGCCGGGCGCTCTGCTACCCAAACTGGCAAGCGGCCGAGAGCTGCTTTAGCTATACTTTTCCAAGGCACTGAAGCTGAACAGTTAAGGCGGTGATCATTTCCAGGAAGATAAACAGGATGGAAAATGGAAATTGCTTGGGAGGGGAAGCCTTTTAGCATCCAGAGGGGAGCAGTGGAGTTCAGCAGAACTGATGTGTGTGTGACAGGCCCTGTGGCCCCGCCTCCTCCTCACCTCTGTCCTCAGAGGAGAGAGCAAGGGAAGTGTCCTGTGTGGGAAGGCTGGCCGACAGGCTTCGTCGGCAGCAGGTAGCCTACACGAGGACTCAAGAAACTCACGTGAAAAAAGGCTCACACTGTACCTACTTCAATTTCTCCAGTTCTTCACTTGTGAAATGGGGACCAGCCTCGCCACTATTTTTTTTTTGTTGTTGTTGTTTTGTGAGGTTCAAATAGGATGCAGCTGGGTGACGACTCAGAACTGAACAGCACAGTACAGAGACCCGCACTCCTATCTCCCCACTTTGCACGGTCCCATAGCCAAGAATACTTCTTGCAGGCCCCACAATGGGGCAGGATCAGGAGCAAAGGCACAAGGGTGGATGATGGCATAGGTGGGGCGTGGCTCCAGCAGGTCAGAGACCACTGGGGCACATTCTCAGGGCCCTCCCAGAAATGTGAGCCAATTCTAGAGGCCAACAGACAACTGTAGCTATTTATGGATGGAAAAGTGGGCTCTGTAGTGGTGGTAGGTGCCCATTATGGGGTCCTTCTGGTTTCGAGGCTGTGTGATGTTACCTGCTGCACTTGCCCCCCACTTCTTCTGCTCCAGTCTGGTGGATACAGCACCAAATAGGAGCCGGAAGACACAACCAGCTCCTATGCCGGCGCCTCACCTCCGTTCCTAAACTGGGGGGTGGGGGTGGGGAGGTATTTTCTTGTCCAGGTTCCCCACCCCTAAAATGCTGCAAATCCAGATTTAAACAAAGCTCTCTGACAACGAACAGAAACCAGAGGGAGTGCTGCTGCTGGTGGCCTAGGTTTTTCTTGTCCTTTGACGGGTTCTACCCTCTCTCACTGCTGACGGGGACAGCGGCAGGGTGGCTGGGAGGACGAGGGGCAGGGTCAAGAGGATATTACTGTTTTCTTTTAAAAAGGCTGAGGGCACAAGTGAGGGAGGGTTGTCAACTGGCAATTTGGAAAGGCAATGCTTAAGCCAGTTTTTAAACTGCTTGGAAAGTTTCAACTTTTTTCTTAAATAAGGACAACTGGGGTGGGGGGGAGACGGGGGAGAAGAAAAACCATGGTAACGTATTAGGAAAACAAAGTAACAGAGCAGAACTTTCTTAAGACAGAAGCTTAGCATGCAGTCAGAAACAACAGCCAGGAAAGTAGTAGCGGCTTTTCTGTTTCCCGCAGCATCCCCCACTGCTGGTGTCTGCCCCCAGCTGCACCATCTCCATGCCTCTGGCCTGGAAACACTTATGCTGCATGTTATATGGAAGCACATGAGCTACAGCTGCTATGGGGAAGGTCCTAAACTTCACAGTTTACAACAAAAGATAAATCAGAAGACAGAAAAAAAAAATGTATTGTTTCCACTGGAGAAGGGCAGTGGTACATTGTAACAGAATCGGTGCATGGTTTCCTCTGATCTCCAAGGAAAACCCCCTCACTGCTCAGTCTCTATCTCCCAACTTAGAAATTTTGATTTTGCCCATCCTTACTCTTTTTAAAGGTGAGTTCCACAGCTGGTCACCCACCTTGGGGAAGTACTTTAAAATAGGATGTTGCTCTAAGATCTAAGCATGCTATTGCTTTTCTCTGCCTCCAGCTTCCACATAAAGTGGGGGTAGCTCTGATCCCAAATTAGAAGGCATAACAGGATATTTTGAGCTACTAGTAACAAAGAATAGAGATAAATGACAAAAAAAGTTTCCTGCAGGGCCAGGCTGGCTGTGGGGGCGTCACAGAGCCTACGGTTACCTTCTTCTTGATGCCATCTTGAATGACTGTAGTTCGGTACAGTCTCAGAAGACCTTCCTCGGACAGGTTCCGCACCAAGCGGACGATGGACTTCTTACAGCACTTGGTGGACACTCCTTCTCGCTTCTCCTGATCCATGACCATTTTCTGAATCCTGTAGGATCACAAAACAACCAGTCAACAATCCCGATCTTAACAAAGAAAGCTGTTCAACTCAGGCAGCTAACGGTTCCATCACGAACTAGGGAAGCGGGCGAGGTCTGCACCCCGGAAGGCTGGCTTCTTTCACTGAAGGACTCTTCGAGTTAGTTGACTTCTTTCATTAAAGGACTCTCTGAGTCAGCGAAACACAAAAATCCCTCACAGCAGCTTCACATTGTAAGTCTTAAACCAGGAACTAAAGAACCGACATGATTTGATTTGTAACACTAACTGCAGTGGAAACCATGAGCAGGCATGGAAATCCACCTTCAGTGTGGATTTGTATCCTTACAGTGTGACTAAGTCTACACTGTAATAATAGAAAACCCACACCCACTGCCATCGCACTGATTTGAACCCACAGCAACACTCCGACACTCCGTCAGGTTTCCAAGGCTGGAATTCTTCACAGGAGCAGACTGTCACCTTTCTCCTGAGGAGCTTGGTGGGCTTGAACTGCCAACCTTTGGGTTAGGAGCTCAACATGTAACACATTATTCTGACAGGACTCCTTATCCTAATGCTCCGGTTTACCAATGACTCCTCAGATTTAAAGGTCTTTTTTTGTGTGTGTGTGTGAGTGTACTATCAAATCAGATCTGACTGGTACAGGAGGAGACTGTCCCTCCTTCCCCGGCAGAGCATCTGGTGGATTCGAACTGGGATTGTAGTTGCAGCTCCTTGCCACTAGGCCACCAGAGCTCCTATAAAGGTCTTTTTTAAATTCCATTCTTGATATAACTTGCTTTCCAGTTCCTAATGAGTCACTCTGGTAAAATTTCTAGATCATGGATGACAGGATGATAACACTGAAGGGACATCAGCGCAATTGTTAAGCATCTAGATGCAAAATCTGAGGCTGGTGGTTCAAACCCACCAGAGGCTCCATAGGAGAAAAGATGGAGAAATCAGCACCTATAAAGATTACAGCCCTGGAAAGTGTATGAGGCAGCTCTCCTGTCACACAGCATCGTCGTGGGTCAGAGCCTTAAGTGTCGATGGCTTTCAACAGCTACAGTCAAACACCTTGCTCCAGAGAAGGGAGCAGGGATGGAGACAAAGACTGCGTAGGAATACATGCCCTTGAATCGGGCTGAATGGAGCAGCTTTCACTGAAGCCCCAGTGACCCTGAGCTCTCCTTATAGACAGCAGTGCTAATGCCCTATGAGGAGAGTTCAAGGACGCCAGGTGGTGTATTGGGTGGGTGTTGGGTTGTCAACAGAAAGTCTTGCATCTCTGTTCTATGAGAGAGATGAGGCAGTCTGCGCAGGAAAGATGTGTGGCTGCAGGCCACAGCTCTCCTCGGTCCTCCAGGGTCACTGGGAGGCAGCCTGGACTGGGCGGCAGTGAGGTTCTGAAACCCAGAGTTCAGAGCTGTTGCTCGCGTCCCCAGGCGCAGATTCTGTCACCTTTGTCCGTAGATGATTTGTATGAATTAAAGAAATCCACGGAGAACTAAAACAAAAATCACTGGCTAAGGTTCTTCTCAGCCCTTCCTTGGCACCAAATTTGCAAGAAAGGAGAAAGTTAAATGCATGATCCCTGGGACTTGGATTTCTGGGGGGATCATTCTCTCCCAAATGTGCCGTTTCAGGGATCCCAAGTTAAAGCAAAGCTGCAGGACAGGGTGGAACTGCCTCCCTGGCTCCCCGGGCTGCGATCTTTAGGAAAACAGGGCGCCTCATCTCTCTCTCAAAGTGGGGCTGACAGATCTGAACCAATCTTTTGGTTAGCAGTCAAGCGCTTAATGATGACACCACCAGGTCTTGTTCTCTTGGAAGAGTAAATCTATCAGCATTTCACATCTGTACTTTTCAACTAAGGTGAACAAACTCTTAAATCCTGTCCACCACAAAGACCTTACAAGAATCTGTCCAGCTGAACAGAGGTTTCTCAGTCATTTCTACATCCTGTGATCAGAGAAAGGCATGAGGGTTATGAAGGCAAATTCAGAAGGAGGGGCTGCTTCTTACGTGAACAGGCTCTCAATCAAGCGGAGGTTGGTGACGGCCTCGATGATCAGGTTCCTCCGTTTCAATAGACGATAGGTCTCGTGGGGTTTGTCCTGATCCTTCTGCTTCCCGGACTTCTGCGAGCTGCTACTTTCCTGGAGCAGAGACCAGCACAAGGGAAGAGCGTTCAACAAAGCTCAAAAAGGGCAGAAGCCGCCACGGTTCCTACTGGTGCACGCTACCTCTGTATGGAGTCCCTGCTCCCGTGTGGACAGGAGGAAGAGCAGGACCCCAGGCCATACTGTTTCAATGCTCTGAAATGGCAAATACGCCTGCCAGCAGAGAACATCCCGGGGAACCTGAGAAGGCTGGCTGGTTTCAGAATCGAACCTGGAGGTACCTGCCAGAGGAATTCTCCAAGAAGTAGCAGCCTTCCCCAATGGAAGGGGAAGAAACTCCACCTCTACGCTGAAATGTACTAGGCTTTTTCCACTAGAGCGCTTAACAACTTAACTGTCCATTTCCCAGAGGAGAAACCTGGGCTCCGTGAGGACAGTTCTCTGCTCAGAGTCCCAGAACTGGAAAGCGTACGGGCAGGGGTGTGGCTTGTCCCCTCTGCCTCCGACCTCAGGCGCCTTCCCACCAGCCAGACTGCTGTGGAGCAGGGACGGCTTTGAGGTTAAAAAGAGCTTTTTATGGAGGGAAGTTAGGATGAGTGGTGAATAAGAGATGACAGCAGGAGGGCATAAATAAATGCTTCCTCCTCTGTCAGCCCTGTCAAAATGCCCATCTCTCTCTTAACGTCTCCTTGGCCTCCCTGACTTAACATGGACCTGTTCTATCTGCCAGTCAATCAAAGTATACTCAATCCCAAATGTGATCTTAAAAGGAAAGGAAATCCCAGCTCACACAGACTCCTTGAAAATCACTTGGCGCAATTTAGTGCTCATCAGACAGGCTCGAGGGCCTGCTTCACTCGACGCAGCCTCACTTGAGCAGCACTTCCAGCCACACGGAAACTCAGAGAGGTTCCCTGAACATCAATTCACCCCAGTACTGGCTGCTTTAGGCTCCAGATGAGGCACAGTTCTTCTAAGAATTGGGGGGATGGCTTGAGGAATTAAAAACTCAAAGGAGTCAAGAAGGGTCCTAAGAGATCGCAGTCTTGGGGACATTAAGGTCAATTGGTACAACACAGTCCACAAAGACAACTTTCTACATCCTCCTTTCGTGAGTTTCAATTATGGCCTTAAACACTTTCGAGCAACCACCAGTCTCTCTCTGTGTGGAACAAAGGAGTGTGAAGCAAAGCAGAGATGTACTGAGATAATCAGTCCAAAGGACCAGTGGACCTTAAACCTTCTTGGAACTCAACTTCCAGGACTCTTGAGATCAGAAGAACTAGATGGTGCCTGGCCACCACCACTGATCATGATAAAAGGCATCACAAACAGATGAGGAAGAGAACTGTTTAAAAAGGGATGTATGATTGGGTATTATTGTCATGACAGGAGTCCAGAATGAAGGCTGCATAGTGGAGTGGACTTGGAGGGGAGGGACTGTATAACAATGGAAGATTTTTTCTTTCACTTTTCAAGGTGAAGGGGGAACTGAGGGGAGAACGGGATGGGCAGGGAGAAAAGTACAACAATGAATGACTGGAAACCCTAAGTCTCTATAAACTTTCATTAAAATAATAAAAAAAAGAAAATCTGGAAATATATCTATCTCCCCAGCTTTCTGCCAGTGAGGCTCCTTACACCCTCGCTGTGCGGCCTGTGGAACGAATGCCGCGCGGTTTGGCGGCTTCAGTGTTACCTGGGAAGATGGGCGGGGAGTGTGATGGACCCTTTAAAGGCATCACAGAAGATGATCCTGGGGAGAGTGGGCCAAAATGTGGACCCAAACTCAAAAAGCTGGGTTTGCTGGTCCAAGAGAGGCTGGGGGAACACCTGAGACTACAGCACTTAAGTTATCATTCAAACCTGGGACGAGACTCACCTTGACGTCTAAACATTCCAATGACACACAAGTCTACAAGGTACCTAGTACCGCCCACTCCTTAAAGCAACCAACTATATGAGGTTAGCAGATTGCTTCAGCCCCATGGGAAAGTCTAAAGGCAAGGACAGGCAGGACAGAAGGACTGATGGGAATGAGAATTACTGGGAGGAAGTGTGAGAAAAACGAGTACACTGTCAGCACTGTCACTAATGAACCAGGCCACTTTCCAGAAGGCGGCTGGTGAGCAAAGTCAAAGGAACACCGGCTGATCCTCTGAAAGACATGCAGAAAGAGGGGAAGGATTAGGCCACAATTCTGGGAAGAGATGAGCAGAGCTAAGGATTCTCCCACAATTCTGGGAGAAGAAGCGCAGGGAAGAGCAGAGCTGCACAACACTGTAGCTAAGAAACCATTCCGACACCCGGAGAGGAAACACTGCTGGCGAGGAGGGCTGGGAGTGGCAGGCAGGGAAGGCCTTGGCCCCCTGCTGGGGTCCACCTGCCCACAGGCCCGCTTCAAAGATAATCACATCAAAGACAGCACAGTGGACAAAGCAAGGAGCTCAGGGAGAGACAACAGCAATCAGAAATTTAGGAAATTTTCAAGTAACATAATGTGTCTAATTGTTATTTTTGCTGTGTGCTGTAGAGCTGCAACCAACTCAGAACTGAACCTCCAGCAGGTTTTCAGAGGCCGTAAACAAGTACAGGAGGAGACGGCCCAGTCTTCTACAGAACAGCTGGTGGATTTGAACTGCATACCTTTGGGAATGCAGTACCACTTCCTACCACTAGGCCACCAGTAGTTATGGAATCCAACGAATAGCAAAAGGGGGCTAAAGAAAACCTTCTTCCTCACCTTATGTCCCAACTACTTTGCTGCAGTGACATCCTCAAAGCACAGATCTCCACCCCATAAAGCGAGAAACCACGCATGGCAAGACACGTGGCTCAGGCGGGTCCCGGTCCTGAATGGGCCATTAACTGATCAGGCAAATTACTCTCTTTCCTCCTCACCAATCAGGGCTAAGGATGAAACAGCAGCTACAACATCTAAGGTCAGGACTGACTGGTCTGTTCCCTGCTAAGTGGTTGTCCTATGGCTCTACACCCCACCATGCAGGAGGGGCCGCTGACAGCCACTGAGGAAGTCTGGGGTTACAACAAAGGCCATCCCTTAGGTGACAGAGGCAGACTGAGTCGTGAACACGACATTCCTGTCAACTGTCCTTTTCAAATCCTCAATACACTTATTTATTTGCCCAATTCTAGTACTGCCATGAAGTAGTTTGAGAACTGCTAATGTCCTGTCTGTGTCAAGAGTCTTCTACTCTAATTACACTGATGAGTTGGTTTTATTCTCATTCCGTCTCTAATACCCAAACACGCAACAGTGTCTACTACGTACATTACTGTATGTGTCTTATAATTACTTTCCTTTATGGCAGATTATGTGGGCCTTTCACCCATAGCACGGCTCGCAGCCTCAGCACTGCTGACGTCTGGGCCGACAATGCTTTGCCGTGGAAGACTGTCCTGTGCGCTGTGCAATCTCCAGCGGCAACGCCAGCCTCCACCCACTAGACGGTGGTGGCATCCCGCTCCCAGCTGTGACAATCACCATCATCTACTGGTCTTGCCAAATGTGCCCAGAGAGAAAAATGACCTGGGTTGAGAATCACTGATCTAAAGTAGTGGTGAGAATTTTCTTCGTGAAATAAATTTAAGTACAAAGGAAGCTGTTGGATATGAAATTACCGGTAAATGACAGTGCAGTGACTTCCGTCTGGGGCACAGACTGTGTGAACGAGGACCGTGTGCCCCCTGTACTCGGTTCCCGCTTGGCAGACAATGGGCTCCTGGTATGGGGCTCTCTGATTGCTATTACTTTTGTTGTGGTTGTGGCTCTTACGCACAGAAATGACAAGCGTGACAGGTGTCTCCCTTTGCCCCCACTCACCTTTGGGTTCTCCATCCTGACCTCTTCAATGACAGCTATGTCACCACTGTTGCTATCGATACAGTGGGAGCTGAAAGGGCCACTGGTGTCCGAGAAGCCACTGGTGTCCAGGTGGCCGTCCCCACCGACAGAGCTCCAGCCGGCTTTCTCTTCGCCAGCTCCCGAGGAACCAGCCAGCGGCTTCTTCATTGGGTTTCGGTTTGTACCCTTCCAGCCACCTGTGGAGGAGGGCAGAGGGAGAACCAATGACCTCTGGCCTGGTTAAGGGGAAAGTGAGAGGGGCGCTGAGGTTTGACTCTGACCAGAGCCGTGCTGAAGGGACCACACACTTCCATTTAGAGCCACTTCAAAAGCATCACAGTAGACATCGCAAAGAGCTCAAGTGCCCACTCTGAGCTGGACGCGGAACCAGTCAACTGTCCCCAGCACGACCTCAATGTCTTTAAAACCCAAGGAACTGAGGGGTCAGTTGATGACTGGCGAGAAGGAAGAGCCCACTTTTAAACATTAAAAACACACCAAAGAAATAAAATTCCCAAGGAAGAGTGACAACTCACAAATAGCAGCCGCAGACTCATGTCTATTTTTCCAAATTTAGAATTCTGTGACTTAGGTGGCACCATCAGACACTGGCCTGACCCCGAGGAGTCGTATTCGACTCGACAGCACACAACAACAACCACAACACCAGACCCTGAAGGAGGACAGTACCAAGGGCACACTCGAGCCTGTGCCAGGCCCCGACACTACCGGGAGGACGGTGGGGCCCGCCGGCGCTCCAGGGCCCGCCCTGCCCACTCCCCGGGTCTGGGAATGCTCCCTACCCTTGGCCGGTGTGGCTCGTGCCCTGTCCCCCTGCGACCGTTTGCCCTTCTTCCTGCTGCTCTTGCACTCCTCCTCACTGTCCGACTCGGAGAGGAACGCGTCTTCTCCATCAGGCAGGAGGGACTCCTCTTGCACAGAGGCCCGGCTCACAGTGGTCAGTAGCTCACCCCGGGCTTTCTCCCTCTCGTACTGACGGCTCAGATCACTCTCTTCTGCAAAAACGCAGGAGATGTACTTGGTGGTCCGCTGCCGACCCTCGTCTTCCATGAATCCCTGTGGGGTGAGACACAATAAGAAAGGACGTTATGATGCACATTCACGTGACCTGAGTGTTGACAGCACCTACAGCCTGAGGGGGGGGGGTCCCCGCCTTCACCTGTGTCTATCTTCCATCCTGTGCCTGTGAATGCCCCACCCTGACTTCTGTTACATCCTCAATGAGGAGAAGTTTAAAGCAGGCCAGGTGTCAACTGGGGGACAGAGCATCCATGACTCATGGGCAAGTCCCGGGTGAGGCTGGAGAAACTGAAAACAAGGCCACAAGAACCAAAATTTGATCTTGAGTTCATCCCACCCAATTTAAAAATCCCCTTAAGCACAGGTTTGAAGCACTGAACACCAAATACGGGAGACGAGATGAACTGTGGGATGATATCAAGGAGATGATCCATGAAGAGAGCAAAAGGTCATGACACGGACGGAGGAGGAAGAAAAAACAAAAACGGGTAGCAGAAGAGAACTTGAAAATTGCACTGGCGCACCGAGAAGCCAAAACAGAGAAGAGACGCTGATGTAAAAGGGCTGAGAAGATTCCAGAAGACAAAGCAAACTACTACAGTGGAATATGCATAAACCGAGAATAAAAAGGGAAGCACTCGCTTGACATTTGTAATGTTGAAGAAACTGAAAAGCTAATTCCGGCCTCAAGCTGCAATACTTAAGAGATGGTATGGGCAAAATCTTGAATGATCCAAGAAGCATCAAATGGAGATGGAGGAAATACACAGAATCACTGTTCCAAAAAGAGCTGGCTGACACGGAAACCTTTCAGGAAGTACCATGCGGCCAAGAGCCGGAGGGAAGGAAGGGAGGAAGTCCAAGCTGCAATGAAGACACCGGCAGAAAATAAGGCCCCAGGAAATCTGTATGAATGATTGGTTAGTGAACCACATCACTGTGGGAACTGTAACTCAGAGCATCCCGCAAACCTTAAGAATAAAACCAAAACCCCAGGCCTGTTTGCTGGCGAGTTCATTTTAACCCACGGTGGCCTGTGAATTACAGACTAGAAGTATTCTACAGGGTTTCTACAAAACAGATAGCCAGGACTTTCCTTCGCAGCATTGCCACGTGTCTGAGTCAACAATCTTAGGCTAGTTAGTGGTCAATCATAAACCACTTGCACCTCAAGGGACCTCTGCTGACAGCACCCCGGGACACAGTGCTCTGGGTGCTGCCACATCTTCGGACAACTCATTGGATTACAAGAAAATAAAAGCAAACCTAGTAAGGTGAGAGGGGTGTAAGAGGCCTGCTATGAGCAGATGGCGCCTGGAGAGTCCTCTGCTATCCTGACACAGGCAGGAGGGTGAGTCCAACTAGGCTATGACGCTGACATTACCTCAGAATCACGCCGCCTACAGATCCAGACGCTACTGCCTTCAGAAACTTACCTTGACCACTTTGAACCTCTGAAGAAGACGACACAGCATTCTTGCTTCGAGTTTCCCCACGTTCATAGCCACTCGGATTTCAGCTTGAGAAATTCCTTTGGTGCCTCTGCGTTCAACTGTATTAAAGAAGACACATGAGCTCCAATCTCTGCAAAGGAGGTGTTCCACACAGTGCCCATCAATCCCTCCCCATTTAAGCATGCTGTTAGGTGCCATCAGGTTGGAACTGACTCACACCGACCCTGACCATGACCCTGCAGTGGGTTATCGGGGGCTGTAAATCGCCCGGAAGATCCCCTGTAGAGCTGCGGGTGGGTTCAGAGCACCTGCCCCTCACCCCCTCGGTCACCAGCACTCCTTGACTGAAGCACAGTTGTGTTCATACACTGAGCAACAGAATACAACGCGCTGCTTTTCTCTCCCTTCCCCTCCGAGAATCTCTGCGTAATAACGGGAGTGGTTACCGGGCTGAGTGCTTCCTGTCTGACCACTAAGTGGCTAGCCATGTGCCGCTGCATTAAGTTCCGGCAGTGTCATTTTTATCCAGTGATAAGCTATGAGCTCATTCACAGAAACATCACCACCACTCCACCACCCCAGAAAAATCTACACTTTAAGAAAAAGAGAATAAAAATTTGAAATTTTTCATTTCTTGGTTGTGTCTGGCAGACTCTGAAGCATCAGGAAACCAATTATTGTCTGTCCTGTATGAGGGTCAAGCTCGCTGGGCCCCTGGATAGGACTACGGAGAGAAAATAACGCTGTTTGGCACTATACAAATGACCAGCATGCGGCTGTGCTCTGTAACTGGCTCTCTGGGTTTTGTCAGTCCTTGACCTTTTCAGTGTAGGACTAAGCTGGAACGGGCAACTTTATCAAGGAGCCTGGCTGCCAGGGCTCTAGCGGAGACAGTCCCATCCGCAAAGCTAATGAACTACAGAGCAAGCATCTGGTAGAGGTTTTTGAAGGTTCAGAAATCGTTCTCTTCTTATTTTCTGATGCATCTACCTGTGAAGCTTCCAGGTAAAATCAACCTGGATAAATGAAGGCCTTATCTTATAATATATACAAGCAAACGCCACAGTAAAAGAGAACTAGAATGCTTTCCTATTATATGGGAATAGATGAGAACATGAAAAACGTGGGGATGGAAGGGAATAGGATGTCTTTTTCCAAAGTGTTCTAAGAAAACCAGTTAGGGAGATGCTAAGAGTTGATGAAGTTGCCAAACAACGTCCTAAACGGGTGCACCATTCACCAGGGTGGCTTCCTGCCTGCTCTGGGGCAACCGCACAGCTGCCTCCCTCCAAAACTGGACAACTGCTGCTGTGAACAGGCTCCGAGGATGAAGAATGGGAACAGCCTGTGCTCCCATCTTAGCACTAGACTCCTGCATCCCTGCAGTGACGGTGACCCAGATGTAGAAGGCGGTAGGTGCTGTCAACCTTCACATCACACCGAGAGAGATGCTTCCCGAGGGCTTGCTGTGCACCAGGCGCTCCGCCCAGGGCTTGCACCCAATTCCTCATAGAGCTCTTATAATGTGCTGGTGCGGATAGCCCCATTCTACAGATGAGGAATCCAAGGCTCAGTGATTTTGCTAAAGTTAGTAAAGCAAGATCTGAATGTCTGCACCTTCCAGCAGAGCCCTCTCTAGACATGTGAGGAAACCGCTCTCAACTACACTGCTCAGGAGACCCACTCCACACATGTGAGGACAGGACGTACTGAGTTCGTAGGTTTGCGTGAGCATGTCCCGTTCAAACACTATGTCCACAGGGGGCAGGGCCTTGGATATGACCTCCTCGTCATCGTCGTCGTCCTGGTCATCTTCATACCTCCGCTTGAACTCCTTCAGCAGCTTGAGGCACCGGGCCATAACGTCGGTCCCTGGGAACACAAGCACAGGTTTGCCAGAGTGAACACAAAAAATATTGGAGGGAGGAGAGGCCGGGGATCCTGGCGTGATCGCAGCTGACTCGGCACAGCCGAAGAGCCGCAGAATGTCACGCACTTCTATAATCAACAGACACGATGTGAAAAATAACGGCAAGCCTAAGCCTACGGTGATCAAAAAGACGTGTGTATCTATGGGCTAGAACGGCGCAAGGAGGAACAAAAAAGACCTGAAATAGCTTTCCACGTGCTAAGTCATCGCATACTAACAATCTTGGAGAACTGGCAGAGGAAGAAATTCAAAGGGATCAAATCCGGTACTCAGGCTTCCAACAGCAAGAGGCAGACAGATGGAGTGACTCAAGGTGCGTGTCAGGTCTCCAACATGGAAGAAATGATTCTGCACTGAGAAATCCTATGATGGGGACAGTACACAGAACAACAGCCTTCAAAGTGATTCACATCCTTATCCCTGAACCTGGGACTGTGTCACCTGATTTCTTAGTCTCTGGTGGCCATGCAATGCTAAGCCCATCATCTATCATGGCGACAAGCAGTGAGGCCAACAAGCATTAGCAAGAATCTTGGGAGACTGGGATGTAGTGGAGCTTCCAGGTGGAGAGAGGCTCGTGTGCTCTGGGGAGGAGGGTAGGTATGTCCTGGGCCTGGGGCTTTCTGTCTCGATTAAAGGTAGCTCAGTTAATAGGACTGTTAGGCAAATTAATCCACCAACCCAGGATCCCAAACATGAAGAAATTGAAGGTTCTTACCAACCTCTGTGGCTGGAAATTGATAAAGCACGCAATTAAAAATTTTTTTGAGAATTACTAGTAATTAGAATGCAAGAGCTGGAAACAATGAAGTTGGAAAATACACCCTCGGTGACAGTAATGACGCTGAAGACGGCGTAATAGAATTCTGAAAGACCAATGATTTATTCATCAGTCCTGTCTTCCTTCAGTAGCATAAAATAGCGTAAAATAACACAGGAGAGAAAACACCGTTTTTCTTTAACCATAGGATCAGGCTTGCTTCTCATTTCCTGTGGTACCTGCGTGGGTTAGATGTGGACCTCATCAGATGGGACAAACAGGAATCAAATCTACCACAGTTGATGGAGAGACTCAGAATTATCAGAACGACCGCAGGGGCTGCCTAAAGAAACTCTCACCACTGGCTCACCCACAATGGGGAGCTGCATAAAATAAGTCCACAAAGATTTAAAGTGGTTTAAAGTAGAAAAAGTGTGCCCCAAGACCCACATTGCATCACATTTATTCAATCCATATGCTAAGCAAATAATCTGAGAAGCTGGATTATATGAAGATTATGACATCAAAATTCAAAGACTCATTAATAATTTGCAATATGCAGATGTCACAACCTTGCTTGAAGTGAGGAGGGCTTCAAACACTTGCTGATACAGGGGGGAAAAATTATCAGTCTGTCTGTATACTTTCAGGCTTAAGTCTAAATCAGACCCCAACATACAGAAAACAAAAATTCTCATAGCTAGAACAACAGGCCACATCATGATAAACGAAGAAAAGAAGGAGGTTGTGCAGTGTTTCTAGTTTACTTGCATCCCCAACCAAAATCCATGAAAGCAGCAGTCAGGAAACGAAGTGACATAGTGCACGGGATAAACGTTATGCAAAAAAACCTCTTTAAAATCTTAAAAATCAAAGTTGGCACTTTGAGAACCAAAGTGTATTCGAGGCAAGCCTTGGTATTTTCAATTGCCTCACGTGCATGTGAAAGCTGGATAATGAGAAGACCGGGGAAGGACTGATGTCTTTGATTTACGGTGCTGGCAAAGAATATACAGTATGGACTGCCCGGAGAGTGGACAGGTGGGTCTGGAAGGACGTACAGCCAGAAGGGTTCTCAGAAGTGAGACGGCCTTGACTTTTGTCTTGTTTTTTACATTAGGAGGCACCAGTGTCTGGAGGACATCACGCTTGGTAAAGCAGATGACCAGCAAAAGAAAAACAGATGACAACCCTTAACGAAATGGACTAACACAGCAAACGGAACAATGGATTGAAACAAACGACTACTGTTGAGGGAGTTCTGGTGGCTCAGTGGTAAGGAGCTGTGCTGTCAACCCAAAGCCACCCGGTTCAAATATACCAGCAGCTCTGTGGGAAAAAATAGATGCAGTCTCCTCTAGTGTGATTTACTGCCTCTGAAAACCCACTGGGGGGGTCAGCTATGGGTCAGTTTTGACAACAATAATTCTTTTAGAGAACAGCACAGAACTAAAAATAAATATGGTGTCCGGAGTCAGGACTTGAGGGCACCAACAACATCCTTTTTCTGCAAAATGTCTGGCCAGACAGTCCTCTCCCTGTAGTGTTTTGAGTGGTTTCCATGGATTATCAGACAGAAGAATCAGATAAGGAGTCACTACTTGTTGACCTAGCCCCTGGGCCAAGGAGGATGGGCCAGAAAAGTCTGGCGTGAAGCAGCTGGTGCCTGTATGGACAAAGCAAAAGGAACTGAGATGAACAGAGGACCAGCTGGCATGTGGAGTGGGATTTACTGCCCACCACACATTTGGCCTGAGGTAGATAAACTCAGCTTCCCTGGACTGGTGGATACCAAAGGGGCTTTTCCTGGATGATGTAGGTAATGACAAGAGCCCTTAGATGCTGGATGCAAGGCAATCAGATAAGAGATTGAAAAGATACTGTGCCCCAGGCTTGGACAATAAAGGAATGAGGTTATGGCCAAGGAATACAGCCGGTTTCTAGATGCTGGAAAAGGCAAGTGAATGGAAGGCAAGTGAATGGAGCCTCCCAAAGGAAATGAGCATTGCTGACAACTGGATTTTAGCATGTTGTTGTTAGGTGACAAGTAGAGTACTACTCAACCCTATCAACAGCCTGAACCCCGTCCCGTCCCCATCATCTCTGAAACACTCAAGCCCATTGCTGAAGTCACAGGTCTCACGGGGGTCTTCCTCTCATTCACTGACCAAGCATCTTTCCAAGCATCATGTCCCTTTCCAACGAACAGCCTCACCTACATGTCCAAAGCATGAAAGATGAAGCTTTACCATCTTCGAGTCTTCTCGGAGCACCCTGACTGCACTTTCCCCAAGACTATGTTTGTTTTTTGACAATACTCTTCTCCAGCACCACAACTCGAAGGGGAAGACAATTCAGACTTCCAACTTCCAGAACTGTTAAAAACGTACTAAGGCTTGTTGTTTCAAACCACTAGAATTTACCATTTTCTACAGTGGTAGTAGAGAGTAAATACAGATGGTTTCTCCATTAGCTTCTGTCGGCATGATTGGCAGGATGCTGTGGGAATTACCAAGAACGCTAGTCTCTGTGATCCAGCCCTCTCTCTTTTAGAAAATAGTGGTCCAAAGAGGACCTTCCCGCTTTGAGGGAAGTGAGGTCTGAAAGGCCACGCGCCAGCAATGCAAGCTGACTTCTGAGGGAGGTCGAAACAGTGACCCCCTCAGAGGCAGGGATTCTCCTGGGGACAAAGCAGGAAGCTTAGAGGTAAAGTTCACAAACTGTAAAGCGTCTCTATACCCTGAACTCATCAAAGATTTAGCACTGAGAATAAGGTTCAACTGTCAGAAAGAAGCCAGCCCAAAGTCCTTGGAGTGTTAGCCCAAGGCACAGCAGTTAGCAGAAGTGCAGGCAGCCTCCGCGGGCTCAGGCCCAGCGTGCAGCTGCCTTCCACTCCTCACAGTGACGGAGCAAGCATGCCCTCCTCCGTAAGAGAACAGACGCCGTCTCGGTACCTCCACTCCCGCCAGGTCCTCCCAGGTTCCCCTGGCTTTTACTTTTGACTTGAAGTTTCTGCCTTCTTTTCACCTCCCATCTCTCCTCTAACTTGGGAGCCTGGAGCAATCATAGGAAACAGGTCAGCGGGGGTTCTTGTGTCCAACCAAACAGGTTAACTATTGAAAGGTTTAGACAAACGAGCCGCATCTACTGCTGGCCTTCCTCCTCGCAGACTGAGGCAAGCAGCAGGGATTCACAGAACCTTTGCTGGGTTGTGTGGACGGCCAGCACGGCAGCAGAATGCCAACCACTAAGCATTCTCCATTTATCTTCCTCCGACCTCCAGTCAAGCCCTGTTTAACTCTTGGCTCTTCCCCGAAGAAGATGCTCACGGCAGCAGAGCACTGCTCTTCAAAATAAAAACACTACCATGTACTGAACATGTAAGAAGGCCTGGATGTCACTGTAAACTCTCTCCCTGAACAGACGAGTTACTCCTCGCCGCAGGAGGACCCCCATTTGACACGAGAATGCCGAAGAGTGAAGTAATGTGTTCCCAAGCCTTCCCTTCAGCAAGTGGAGCTGGGAGTCCCTAGGCTGGCTGGCGGTAGAGCCTGGGTATGAGACTTCTGACGATCTTTCTCACAATGCCATGGTGTCGGTTCTGACACATAGCTGAGCCTCCAGCAGGTTCCCAAGGCTGTAAATTGCTTCTCCTCCTCCCTCCCTCACCCCGACCCCGGCAGCAGCTAGATTCAAAATGTGGAAGAAGCCTCCTGGCCTTTGGGTTAGTTACTAGCACACTTCTCTGTGTCCCCAGAGTTCTCTAGACCTTTGATGACAATGGCCCTAAAAAGAAAAAAAGGCCAGTATCACTGAGTGCCTTCTGTGTGAGAAGCTGCAAAATAGTCTCCATGCTCTCTTATAGCCCAGAGCTTCTCTTCTATTCCTTTCTAACTTCCTGGGCTAATTAGCCAGGATAAGATACACAAGACAGCTCTCAAAATAAACACAAGTGGAATGGGAAAACGTGGGAAGAACCCCTTCCGCCCAGTGTTAACTCTTCTCTACCACTACACAACTGACACTTATCCCAGCATGGTCACATGGCATGGGGGACGTTGATCTTCACATCTGTTTCATATGACACTAGGGGGACCCAGGTTTTGCTATTTGGGGGAGGTGTGTATCTTGTTTCCATTTTCTGCACACAGAGGTCCAGTTTTGCCACCACCATTTGTTACA